CAGCACTAAAGTCTAAAGAAAAGTTACTATCCAATGTCATTTCAATACATCTTTATTCTGTGGGGCTTTTCCGCCATACAAGGTGAATTATAAACAGTATGAGTCACTGTGGGGAACAGACATAGATCATTATTTGGAATGACAGATAATATAAAGATATGCATATGCATTCTCATTGGACATGTGTGATACCTGGGCTTGATTCTGATCTGAGACCTGTGTAAATCCTGCTATTTTAGAGCTGCCTTCTGTGGATCCCATGAGACTTTTCTCAAGGATTTTCACAATTTAGACGTTTGGGATTTATGACTTTATGCATTGCATAATAATGAATAATGTAGAGCAGATACATATGAAGTTTAACCATTTAATGTTGTGACAGAAAACGATTTTCAGTTTCAATTTCTAGACCTTTAGTCCAATCCAACTTCAGCCTTGAAAATTGCACGGAAAGCATCATGCTTGTTGGAGCTTCAAGGTGCATCGCTCTCTCCCAGATTGGAATCTTCTGTATGCGTGTGAACTTAAATGTTTAATCCCCAGAACCTTGGACTGTCTCCCATGAGCTCACTTCTCACCTCAGACACTGAGCTCATGTCTGGACAGGATTGGACTGCCATCTTATTTGATGAAACACACCTGTGTTTGCATGTGTATGGCAGAGTGTACTTGTATGTGCTTCTAACCTGTACATATACGTACGGAAGTCGTACTTTTTGGAGCTGATCAAATAGAGTGTAGACATTGATAGGCCTTTGCAGTTAAAGTGGAACAGGTTGACAGTTCTGTATGCAGTACATGGAGAGTTCTTTTCATCAAATACCACAGTATATTTCTTCATTTCTAAACAGTTTGCAAATTTGACATATACAGTAGCTGAAAAAAGTTGCAACTTTTAGAGGGGAATGCTGGAAAACTCTGGTACTGTCATCTGTCATAAATCCGCTTCCTTCCAGTGCTTTCACAAATCTTTGGCAGGAACATCACATGTCCCTGCATATGCCTTTGGACTGAAGGGAAAAATCCACTCAGGGTTCATTTTTACTACTGAAACTATTCATGTTTTGAACTTTAATAGCAGATCTGGTGTAATAAACTGATTTTCTTTCAGATGCCTGGTATTTCATCTTAAATTTTTATTGAAGTTGGACATGAATTTCCATCCAATCAGATGGATTTAGTAAAGTTTTTACCATTTAGCTAAATGCTGTGGTGAAAAAAAGCTCTTTGTAAACTCTTTGTAATCACAGTAGTTCTTACTGTGTTTGGGGACACTGATGTGTCAGTGACTTCCAGTTAATAAACATGCCATGATCCATTCCATGTGCAAGTTTATTTTTCTGTTCCCACTGTGTTCCCATCCACTTATTTTTCATCACAGCCATGGGTCAGTTGTTAAAACTGTCTTATGGGCATCATGAGCCCCATTATCCCTCTTTTTCCCTTGTTTACTTACTGACATAAGACATGATGAAGCCATAATGGCTGCAATCAGGGTAAACCAATTTTGACCTGAGTTTACATTCTGACACCTGTGGTGCGTCAGTTGGTAAAGCTTGGACATTATGAAGCTATTCATTAAGAACTATACTGTAGACAACATGGCTGTTGTTTGGGGCAGAATCTTTTGTGTTTGTTTTATGAATTGTTACGATTTAGACTTGAGATATATAGAGATCGTTGATTAATAGCTGGTCTGCTTATGCATGAATTTAATAGTTTTCTCATCAGTACTTTTTCCAGAATAATTAGTATTGAGCAGAAAATCAGATTCTGCATCATCAACCACAAGCTTTATATTAATTCAGTCCTTTTGTGCACACATGAATGAGGACATTGTGACAATTGTCATTCATCCAAATGCTCGTAGCAGTGATTGATTGCATCCCTTTCTCAGGCATGTCAAATCAGGAATACAATTCATCCATTTGTTAATCCACAACCACTCAGAAAAATGTAGCTCCTCACACAAGAATGCATTGTTTTCATTTACCACACCCCAGGCAGTTCCATATTACATATTATTATTATTGATAATCAATACGCATGAGTGCAAATGCAACACTAGTGAAGGAAGTGGGAGCTATAAGTGAGTCCACCAAATCATCAGGTGCGTAATCTCAGCATTCAAATGCTACAGATCCTTGGCTAAGACCAGTGCTTTCAAAGGTTTATTAACTCATCCATTGCCTCCCTCTTATGTTCAGTGGAACAGTTGAAGTGTGTTTCCTGTTTCCTGACAGTTCTCATTTTTCAACTTTAGTTTTTAAGCAGATGTGGCACTTTCAAATATGTTGTCTGCTAAAATGTCATTTCCATTTAAGTGCAAAACACGCAAAATCTTTTGTTAAAGACAAACTGATTAGTCAGGAGAGACTTAATTCCTTTTGTAGTACCCTTTTTTACCTTGGAAATGTGGGAAAAAAAGACTTAGGAGAGAAGGAGGGAGGGGAGGACTACAAATCATTGTTACTGTAGATTTAAATGCCACATGGTAAAGAAGCATCAACAGATAAAGGTTTTAGTATCTTCTGGGAGAAGACTTCCACATGAACTACACCGCTCCATGAGTCTCACCAATCAGCTGTAGCCTGTAGGTTTAGCTATTGATCTGGATTTGTATCTTTTATTGTTTTTACTACAAGCAGAATAGCTGAGGGTTTGCTGATTTATTTAATGTCTGTGAACCCCAAATAGTTTTTTAGTCAGAGGAAGAATGTTGGTCCTTGGAGAGATTGGAAAGAGGAGGCACTGCACTGCAGAGGACAGAAATGTCAATAACACCTGATGAGATATGCAGGAGTCCGGACAGAATGTAAGAGCATTGGAAGCTGTCTGTTCTCATCGTTACCTGATGGGAAACTGTTATCACTTCCATCCATAAACCAACAGGAGACCAAAAATTAGCTTTTTGTTTTTTGCCGTACGTTTTCTCCAGACAAAGAATATTCACAATGTTTTAATGTTTTTTTTGGGCAAAAGAAAAGATGAGAATCAGCAACATTTTCAACTGTCCCCAGGTTCAGAATAAGACCCATGTGACTGGATCACTCCGGGGCTTCTTGTGAAAACATACACTTTTATGTTTTCTCTGCAGTATGGGTCATTTGAAATACAAACCTAACCCTTGCCAGAGATACTTAGAGTTGGGCTGTTTTTTTTCTTTCTCCCAAACCTCTGCCATGATTAGCATCCCAGTTCCTGTCAAAGAAAATCTCCCTAACAGCATTATTCCTGACTGTGATTGGTCTATTAGGATAGTATTATTGATGGATTGATGCCCTATCTAAATAACTCTGGTAATTGTGGCCCAAAACAACAGGGTTTCCTTAGAAAAAAATATTTAGCTTGTCTTGGTCTGAAAAGGTTTTTCTTTTCTGTTGATTTTTGATTTGCAAGATTTGCTTCTGTATTACACACCAAAAAATAATGGATAACTTTTTGTAAGGCCCTTTCATCCCCACAAAAAAGTCTGGATGTGAATCAGTGACAGGGATTAATGTGCTCAAGTAAGATGTATGTGTATTATATCTTGTCAGTAAGAAGTCAGATGAAAATTGATGATCAATTAAGACTTGCTTGGCTCAGTCACCACATGAAAAAGTCAGTACGTATGGAAACTGAGAGAGAGTCTTCGAACGGAACATATGGGCTATAGAAAAGTCACAGTGATTGATCATTTTGTCATGACCTTTGAGTTGTTTACATAATGAGGAAATAACATGCTTGTTTAAGGTTTTCAAGCTATCATCGTGATGTTATTAAGTCTAACTGAAACTATATATATATATATATATATATATACAGTATATATGTCTGAGTTCTGAGTTTCAAACATATGACGAGTGGATTTTTACAATAAGCGAAGATGAAATGCTATTGTGATGAGTTCTGAAGATGTGATTTATTGCAGCTGGAATACATATTTCAAATTTGTTCTATAACCAAGTATGTCTACATACAACTATGTATCTATCTATGAATGAATGATTTACAGCTTCAATTTTAACAGTTTTTTATTCAAACCTGAATAGTACTCTTTTTAACTACAAGTGTCTCCTTTACTCCTTCACAATCCTCCTTTGTCCCTCTATATATTTTCTCTTTCAGCTAAAAGCAAGAAAACATTCCTAAAAAAGAATTGAAATTCTAAGAATTTAGAATCTGCTTTAACAAATTAATGTTTGACCTTACATTCTCTTTTTTAAAAGAGTAAGGCCAAGGAACTTGAGGGGACATACTTTGTTAAATGAAAAAAAAGTGTATTTATTGCAGCAGAGCTTTCTAAACAGAGAATGTTGGAGCAAAGCCTTCAGTAAAGTTTGTGGAAAAAGAGACCTCAAGGCAAAAATTATAAAGTCAGTCAGTTGATGTCTCTGGAAAATGTGCAAGCAGCACAGACAGAGGCAGTGAGCCAGCTCATTATACATCCATAACTATGTCCTCTTCTCCTAGCTTGTAGTTTACTACTTACTTTAGTCCTGTATGTAAGCAGGTAGTATCTATGCTAGCTGCATTCTTTCAGAAAAAGCACCACTATTATTATCATTTCATTATATCCCAATAATTGAGTTAAAACATCTCCCACAAGAGGACAAAGTGCAAATAAAGAATAAACTTAAACCTTAGCTTTATGCCCTAATCTGTCAAACAAAAATATACAGTTACTTTTTATGGTTTTACTTAATTTACCACACAGTTGATAACTTTCGTGCATTATGCTAAGAGTTTGGGAATCAATACATATGTTTGTGATTTACTTTGGACAGATCAGTTCTGCCTGCATGGTACGATGTAAACATTTTTCATAACAGGGTTCTCAGGCTTCACATATTTCCTTAAACAACATCTGTATTAAAACATCATAGAGCTCAATATTTAAATGCCACGAATGAGTCTGAATTAGTAGGACTCCAAATATGGTCTCTTTTTTACTTCTTGGTATCTTGATAATGGTGGCAAACGACCCTGACCTAATATGGAGAGCTCATTAAAGCCTAATGTCTAGCTATGGGATCAAAGTGGGGTGTCCCGAGGGGGGCAGGGCCCTGAGGTTAAGAGTCCAGTCACTTCCCTTTGAGCTAATGAAAAGTGCAGAGCAGGGTTGCGCCACTGTGAGCAGATACGTGTGAAAGGGAATGTGTCGAAAGTTGGGCGACTGTGTAAGAAAAGTCTTTTAAAAAGCTAAGATGGGACCATGTAGCATAGGAGGTTCGCACAGAGAAATGTTGACATGGCACAGGAAACAATGTTCCCCTCTTAATTACTTTTGTTGAGACAATACTGAGAAAAACATTTGTAGAATAATAAGAATAATAGAATATTAAGCTATTCTAGGGCGGCACGGTGGTGTGGTAGTTAGCACCATTGCCGTGCGGCAATGGGTACTCTGGCTTCCTCCCTCCGTCCAAAAACCTGCATGTTAGGTTGATTGGACATTCCCATCAAGAACCCATTAACAACTGCAAAAGTCTGTGCAGATAAACCTGCATGCCCTTTGAAACCAAGAGTGGGTGTGGCCTGATCAAGAAACATGGCGACCCATCCTTAGTTTCTGAGGTCTTGTAGAATTTTACAGCTTTTTCAAAGTTTTGTTTGAATGTGTTGTTGTTTTTTTTTCATGTTAACCAACTGGTCACAGGTACAGTTTTTTGTTTTGGATTTACTAATTATAAATTGTCTTGTATGTATAGCCCGATAAGTTTATGTACATATTTTTATCAGTGTTTTTGTGCATAGTTTTTTTAAAAGGTTTTTTAATTAGATGCTTGGTCCTATTTGCTTCCATAGTTGTTTTCTTCTTCCTGGACTAAAAAAGTATTTCTGTCGAATATAGTTATTCTGCATTTTAAAATCTAAAACAGACTTTTAAATGTAAGAAGTGTTTTAGATTAACACTGACATAAATACTTTGACACCAGGAGATTCAGGAATAAGGACATTATACAGCTGGTATTATTCAACTGATTGTTTTTTCGCCTTTTACTTAATCTTTTCCAAAAGGGTTTTTCACGTGAAACAACTTTTTCATGCCATTGCTAAATGTTCAGCGAAAGGCCACATGAAACCTATGAACAGATGATGACAAAATGTTAAATAAGTTTCCCTTTCCACCTCCGTTTTATTCTTTGACATGGGGGGCATTTCTCTGTCAGCATCTCATTTTTTTTATCCTGTCATACAACACGTCATTTTGTATTGGAAGTTTGGCTGTGTTGCTGAAACATGAGCGTGGAGCAGGAGCAGTTTCAGGAAGGCCACATGCAGAATCAGGATTATGGTATTGTCAGTTTTCTTTTTGTCACAAAAGTTCAAATATCTTTTAAAGATGACTTTCAGCAAAGCTTTTGTGCCAGCTGACACTCTGGACATTTCTCTTGCAGTATATGATTTTTGCCTGTAAGATTAAACATGTTTCAGCACCAGTTATTTAAGAAAAAAAACCACAAGTATATATAAAATGTACATTATGCATCTTTAAAAAAGGTGATGAAAAGCAGTAAAATGTGCTGATCCCTTCTTTGACACCTCAAGTGCTGCAAATATGGGGGAGCTGGGGCATTTGTCAGGCCACAAGTCACTTTTTAGTTTCACATTAGAATTAAGAGCCACTGTTTCTTTCTAAGTGATTATATTCATGCTGTTTCACCTGATCCTTATCAGTGCATTGTACAAGAACAAGAGACTCACTGATTTGCACTACAACATTTAAACATTTCCACTGTAATGAGTAAGAATGTGAAAAAAATAAAGTGTTAACATATGGTCAGATATTATCGTTTTTTGAATGGGCCAATCTTGAAAATATTGTCTAGAGTATTTGTAACAATATTTATGTTAGTTAAAGTCTCTGGACTTTCAACAACATCAAAATGTTTCTATGCATTTTTATATCAATTTGTATATACATTTATTTTTCAAGCTTCTCATAATCAGAAAAACAAATCAGGGACAAATTAAATGATTTTGATTGACTTAAAGGGGAAAGGTAAGAAAAAAAGGAATACTGCTGAGTTTGTCAGTCTTTTGGAGCAGCTGGGACTGTGGCGAGCAGGTTGTCCACAAATAGCACGACTCGTTGTTTTTAGCCCTGAAAATGCTGAGTTGTTCTTCAACACGACTCAAAATCTCATTCATTACCCATCGACCTCGTGGTGCTAACTTTGTTGCATGAGCATTTGAATGAAAGAAAAAAGACACATGGTAGAAGCACTTTTTTGAATCGTTGGAGGATTAAAGGCTCTGTATGACACCATACAATTTGAGATTCTTTATGCATTGTGTTGTATTGATAAATGTAATCCGGTCCTTTCCTTTCAGATGTTAATGAGTGTGAGGTGGACAAGGGTGGCTGTGAGGGACACTGCTGCAACACCATTGGTAGCTACTACTGCAAGTGCCCTGAAGGCAGCAAACTTGGTCCAGATGGCAAAGCCTGTCATGGTAAGCTGAACTGATAGGGATCTGAATTCAGTGCAACAGAGGCAGGCTTTCTCTGACCAGCTGGGTTTGATTGTTTAAAAAAAAACAATGTTTTTAATGTTTTAAAAAATAGCTTTTTCCTTCTTCTTTCCTCTTACGCGCAAATAATAAAGAATTTTGGTGCCGTTTTCATTTGAAAAACATTGAGATGGTCACCTTCTATCTAATGTTTATAGCTTATGTTTTAAGCCCTCGAACACAGGGCATTTTTAGAAAAAAGAGCAGCAAACAACAAGCTGAAGGCAACAGAAAGCTCAGCACAGAGGACAAACTCACCAGCACACCTGTTCTATCCCACAGTGGCAACGAATGCTCCAGATTTTTTGCTGACATGGACCTGACCCAAAGATATTTTTGATTTTACAAAAAGGATAAGTGAAATCTCTCTGCAAGAAGTCTTGAAAAATGCCACAGAGATTTACATGTTAATTTGCCACTGCTTTAGTGCATCTGTAGAACATTTCAGGACTTTGGTTCATGTTTAAAAATGTTTTTTTTAAAGCAGTTCACAACTTGTGTCAACGCATAGGCAGGGTATAGATTTTTGTCATCATGCCCAGTCTGTGAGGATCTAATACGTCCCCTCTACAGCCCAAAATGTTGTCCTACATTTAACTGACCTCATGCATAGACTGCCAGTTTCAACTGGAACGTGCTGGCAAAGTGGTGTTTAAAAGGACCAATTTGACTCTTCAATTAGTCTGTTCTAAAATATGAACTGTTAGCACTGGGAACTGAGGCCCATGTCTTTCTACAAGCTACATGTGCAAACAAACGCCCTTGACCATTCACCTTTTGAGTAGGATATTGTCGCTCTGTAATGGTTTTAATCCTCAGAGATTAGTTGATAGGTGGAGGAGACAAACAGAAGCACCAAAAGAGTGTGTGTGGTTGTATTTATGGAAAAAGACATTGCAGATGTTTTGATTTTTTTTTCTTTTTAAGGAAACTCATCTAACGTTTTATCCTGTTCTTTTACAACCGCAAAGGAAAGCACACAAATGTAGAATTTTCCTTGTAAACCAAATTTCCTCCAGTTTTAATCTGTAGTAAGTAAACTACAAGAACTGTCCTTAAACATCCATACCAACTGTTTTCACTTTTGGGCCTCTAAAGCAGTTCTTCCACGAGTGCTTCAGTTTGAAGTCTGCTTGTAAGTGCTGGCTCAGCAGTTCAGCTCAGAGCCAGTCGGTGTCACACGATACCATTCACAGCTAATGCCCCTTGACCTCTGACACCGCCACCACGGCCGGCCCTGCTCCCACATTTACCATCTTATTCTTCAGTGAAAAGGTGCCATTGTGTGTCTCTCTCTGAAATCCTTTCACATGAGGAGACTAAGTACATTAATCTTGACAAACCTCCCTCTGCGTTGGCTGTTTTGCATGTGACAACAGGAAACTACCAGGGTGCTTCACAGGCCCACAATTCATAGACTGCCGTATGGCGTTTAACAGTCAGTCAGATGTTTAGCAAACAAAAATTAGCTCATGTTAGCTGACCGCAAAATGATAATTGTTTGGATGGCTGTTGCAAGGGATCGGAATTTATGCCCCAAAAAAAAAAAAAAAACCACACTCTCAAACAATTTGGAACTAATTTGTCATAAATGCACAATGTGGAAAAATGCTCCGACCTCAGAAACGGTCAAATAAACTGTACCACATGTCCTTGAAAAACCGAGATAAGACAACATTTCCCTGCCTTCTTTGCACACAACAATATGTCATCTCTACAGTCAGCTGAAAAGTTAGAGATGACTACCAGGAGGATGATCGCGGGGATGTGTTATCCAGATGTGTATTCAAGTCTAACTGTCCTTGAATGGATTGTTCAGGGATGTTGTCTTCACAATTGGCTTCTGTTCTCTGTGGAACAGCCATGTGGACCATCCGCTTAAAAAGTGTGCAGGAAGCAAATTGGTTCCATGCGCAGTCTACACAGCATGAAAAGCCATTCATCATTCACCCCAAAGAGACTGAACATGTCCAGGTTTAGTGTGGTATTTTGCTTTTTCGACGTGAATTTACATTCCTTTATGGCGAAGCCCAAGTTTTCTTACAATGTTGTCAAGCCACCATTGTTTGGCAAAGAAAAATAGCCAAAGCTGATCATGTGTGCTTCTGATTTTGCAATATTCACCAACTGTATGTTTGCAGATGTAATCAGAAACAAGAGAACTCTGTGAATATGTGAATGTTCAAAGGATCAAGCTCAGTGAAAATATTTTGGTTTTTAGATGAAGAACAGATTTGAACTTGTTCGGTCACTTTACTGACTTTCAGGATACTTTAAAATCCCATTCTTTTTATGATCTGTAAAGTACACAACATTTTGTCACCTGATGCCCTTGTACCATGGTCAAATCAAGTGTAGCTCTTTAAACTTAGCTTAGAATTAGATTCACCAACTACAGACTGATGTTTTGTGATCTATAAAGAGTACTGTGATTTGGATTTTTACTGCACATTTGTGCACACTCTGAATGCCTACATTTAAAATGTATCTATGAATGGTTAACACCATTAAATAATTTATGTAAATTCTTCCTGTGTTTGTGTTCAGACTTAAATGAGTGTGAGGAATTTAATGGAGGCTGCCAGCAAACATGTGTTAACACACTGGGGTCCTATCACTGTGAGTGCAGCGAAGGCTTCCGCATGCACACTGATGGTCGGACCTGCATTGGTAAGTACTACTGTTAAAGTCATTCACTTTTGTATTTGTAGATATATTTCATTTACTATCTTATACACTGACTTTCTCATAACAGTCACATAATCGATGTATTAAGCAATATCAATTTAATTCGATTAAAATCTAATAAATTCATGTTTAATTACTTGTTTTTTAAGAAGCAGGAGTCAGGGGTATAACTATAAGCCATCTATGATCACCTTTGGTGGTGAATGGATAGCGTGATTCTAGAAAGCAGTTTTGTTACAGCCACATGCAGAGCAGGTTATTGTCAAGGTGCATGGATCTGATGTTTGAGCAATCTTTACAATATCCTATCAGAATCAAAACTTTAATCTTTGTGTAGACTAGAATAATGATATGAGTTACCGCCAATAAGCTTGATATGGCCATATTGGCTTCAAGGCACTAAGCATCCATTCGTTGTCAGGACTGATCCCAAGTACTTATCTTCTGTAAAGACCATCAGGAGACCTAATTATCACCAAGCCCATTGGGAAGGTTTAACCTTACTACCTCCTACTGACCTGGCCTGCGAAACATTGAGGCCCACATCCTGTCTCTTCAAGTAACAACTCATGTAAATATGGTGGCCAGCACTGTTAACGGGTCCCCACCTACTGCCTATGGCAGTGTACATGGCAGGAAATGAAATAAATCAAAGAAATGGTATTCTCATTTAATGATTTTTTTAGATTCAAAGGCTTATAATTCCACAAATATTTGCCTTAAGTAACTGCACATGAAGATCCAGCCCGCTTTTTACTTTTCAGCTAACGTTCTGTTGTTTCCTTTCCTCCTAGTTGATTCTAAAATGTGATAGCTGGAAAAAAATATTGCTATTAATGTAAGAAAAGTTCTTTAATGTTTGCTTGATACTAATAACAAGGTTTTTCAACAGGAAACACTCTGAAACGTTTTCTTCGGTATATAGATATTTTAGTGAGTCAGCGTTTAACACTTTAGAACTACAAAAACATGCACATCTGAATTTCTCTCACGTGTTTAAGACTTGTAGTCAACTCACATATGGAGCAAACATGTGTTTTCTGTTGTTTCCCTGGAGAGCCGTCTCACAAACTCTGTTACTTCCGCCCGGGGGGCTTTATGTAGATGATGCCAATTGTTTATTCAGATGTTTGAGTCAAAAAGTTATTTATGGGTTTAGAAGGATTTATTTTTATTCAGGATCCCAGTTGTATTTTTTTTTTTTTTCTTTATTTAGAGTTTAGCTTTAGTGGATCAAAGACACATTTTTGTGGTTCTATCCTTTTGAAGAGAATGCAGTTGATAATATATCAGTTCAGATTTTAGTACATACAATAATACGTATTGAAATGAAGTGATACACTTCATGTACAATTTAATAAAAACACTAAACCTGATGGTAATGAAGTTGAATGTGTTTCTTAATAGCATGTGAAGGCCGCAGCTTTGTGCTTAAGGATGGGGTCAGACAAATAGTTAATTGTGTCTGTTCAAGTCATCAGTGTTAAATCCAGTCGTACTTTCAGTTTTATAGCTGGTCGGTGTCATCATGTCTGGGGTGAGAAAGCCCAATGGGGAAACGGCTAATATTCATATTTGGCACATCATTAAGTCCGGATGGAAATGTCATCAGAAAGCAATCAGGGGTACCCGCTGGAACAGCGCTGAATATCTTTTTCCATTTTCCATATTTATCCCAAGCGTTTTCCATAATTATATAACGGCAAAGTTTGAGGTGTGAAGCCATTTCTGAAAGCTAGCAAATTTGTTCTATTGGTTATCCATTCTTGGTTAAAGTTTCACAGTCATTCAGTTTGAAACTTGACTTGGATATCTAATTTTATGGGCTTTCTGCTTATTTGCCATCTGTGCCTCTGTGCTTATTTTTCCTCAAAGCTATGAACTCTTGCTCTGTGCTGAATGGTGGATGTGAGCACAAGTGTGTGGACATGGGCAACAGTCACTACAAGTGTGAGTGCCGGAAGAACTACAAGCTAAAGAGAGATGGGAGACACTGTGAATGTAAGTGCTCTTGTAAACAAATGTTCTCACTGGACACACAGAAGAAAGGTTAATTTCACTGTGGAGAAAAAAAAAGAAAAAAAAAGAACAGCAGCACAAATGTCCTATTGTTGATGTTGGAAATGGGCATCTCTTGTCTTCTTTGTGTTAGTGAGGGACCCCTGTAAGGAGAGGAATGGAGGCTGTGCCCAGCTGTGCACTTCAGAAGGCGACCAGGTTCACTGCAGCTGCCGATCTGGTTTCTCACTGTCCAGAGATGGCAAGAACTGTAAAGGTGTGGAGCGCGTATCTCTCACTCACAAACTGGTACCTAAGTAGACACTTCCTATATGTGCACACTCACTACTACAAAGCCTACTATCAAAAATCTAAAGTTGTGGTTATGTACCAGCCTATATGCAACACCGTTTTTAAGTGTATAGGACATTTGTTGGTGTCAAAAATGACACTTAGACACAGTTCTGCATGTTTTGCAATTTAATAAGACTAATGTTTTTTCACAGCTTTTCGTGTATTTTCATTTCTGTCTTTGCTTATCTTTGCCTGTTTGTCACAGCAGTGTGTAAACATGCTGATGCAGCATTTCTCATCTGTCTCCCATAGACATTGATGAGTGCGGTTCTGGCCGTGCCAAGTGCTCCCACGGCTGCGTCAACATGTTGGGTTCCTTTAGCTGTGTGTGCCACCCTGGTTTCGAGCTTGGTGCTGATGGCAAGCAGTGCTACCGTGAGTATGAACGGTCTAATTCTAAATCCTCCTTCCATTCATTCATCCAAATGTTGACATGTTCATATTTTTTCTTGCTAAATTAGAATTTCCATGAAATGTGTAAATAAGGAGAAAACAAACAAAGCAAAAGGTAAATTGCAAGAAAATCTAAGATGACACATTGGGATAGGACAAGTCAAGTTTTGTGGCTGTCAAACTGTGCAAGCCCTTTTTTATTTAACCAAAGAGATGAGACAAAGTATTTAATATCCTTGTAACATACTGGTAGCACCAAAATGTCTTTAAAAAGTCTGCTTGCACAATTGCCTGTTATGTGGAGACACAACACTGATTCACTGAATCAGGAGTGATTCATTGGTCAGTGTTTTCATTCCAGTCTCCAGGAATACAAATGAGTAAACCAACGTGTCAAGGAAAATGTAAGGACTTTCCGAAATCCTGGAGAACTCGGTTATTCACTCAATTTAAAAGATTGTACAAAACTATGGCTACTAATAAGAAAAATAATCACATTTAAAAATGGTCCACACCTCATCAATGTTTGTTGGATGAGCAGGAAATGGATTTTAATGTAATGATGTATAGTCATGGGATTGCTTGACTCGATGCTCACTTCCAGGCATTGAGATGGAGATTGTAAATAGCTGTGAGAAGAACAACGGAGGTTGCTCCCATCATTGCGAACACACCACCAATGGCCCCCTCTGCTCTTGCAGCCATGGCTACCAACTGGACCGGAACAGGAAGACCTGTGTAGGTGAGAGCTTCTCTGATAGAAAAAAAACCTCCTATTTTGTTTATTTTTGTATTCTTTTTTTCTTTCCTCTATTCTTCTTTTATTTTCTAGGTAATACTTGAATAACTTCTTCTTTCCCCAGATAGTAATGAGTGTGTCAACGAGGAGTCCTGCTGCAGCCACTTCTGCAGGAACTATCCAGGCGGCTATGAATGCAGCTGCCCAGCTGGTTACAGACTCAACCCAGATGGCTGTGTCTGTGATGGTAAGAGTGCTGAAAGGACAGAAAATTATCTAAATGATCCTTGTTAGCCTTTTTCTGCGCACCACACAAATTCCCAATTCAAATCTGTTAGCTTACTGCTCAGAAATGAGGGCTTTTGAAGGCCGCTTTATAGCGGAGGATGGAAAAAGATAATTCACCCTCAGATGGACAAAAACTTTGTGCAGTATACTGCAACTATTGCCAGGACGATGGAAGATCCCGAAGTGGCGCAAAAAACATGAGCTCACTCCCCGTATGCACTTAAACTCGGGCCATAAAAGTCGTGTTCACCCTGTTCATCTTATAGCAATGCTCAGCCTGAGTGGTAACATGCGCTTTGTCCCCATTTCCCTCCATTAGACATTGACGAGTGTCTGGCGGAGATTTCGGGCTGTGAGCATTACTGCTTAAACACCCTGGGAACGTACGAGTGCTTTTGTCGAAGGGGCTTCCGCCTGGATCAGGACCAGCACTCCTGCATCTGTGAGCAGCATTTGTATTGTAGCAATAACTGCATAGCAAACAGTAATTTGCCTAATGTCACACTAATAAAGGGTAAGTCACAGTTTTAAATTAATGTAGCAGGGGTCTAACCTACTGGGTGCGTTTGCTCAGCTCTGTATGAGGGAGAACTGGAAGAGGAAGAGGAGGAAGATGAGGCAGAGCAGCTGGAGGTTGACAGATTACCAGACCTGCTGTTCCGCAAAGCTCCTCAGCTCCTGCAGTACACGGCAGCCCTGCGCTCCCATTATAGTGCTGCCGCTGATGATGATGATGATGGCCACCCGGGCAGTGACGATGAGGAAGATTTAGAGATCCAGAGAGAGCGCAGAGGAGAGCTGAGAATGGACAGCCACATAGGTACAGTAAAAATGGTGAATGACGACAGTGATGTGTGTGCCTGCTCAAATAAAAGCAGTTTTATTGTTTTTATTGTAACTTTTCAAACCAGAAAACTTGTATGGAGTTTACCATTTCCTTTGTAGTGTGTCTCGATGGCTCCTTTGGGGACGAGTGCAGCCTGAGCTGCGAGGACTGTGTGAATGGAGTGTGTAGTGACAGCAGGGACCAATGCCATTGTTCACCCGGCTGGGCCGGAGTTGTTTGCAATGAGAGTAAGTTTTAGACATACCTGTGTACTGCTATTTAGATATAAAACTCTTCACACTGTTCGCGGAACTTTTGTCTGTAATTTTTTTACTACATTCAGAAGGTATGCTTGCTTCCATATTTGCTGACATTTAAAAACAGAGTTGCTCTCATATTTATCTATGCAATATAAACTACAAGCAATGAACCTTGCATTACTTTGTTATACGTTTTTTGCCTTCTTCCATTTGGGCCAAAATCATGCAACATTTTTAAATTTAGGCCACATATCACAATTTATATATTTTTCCTTTACCGATTTATTATTCATTAGCATTTTAGTCTTTTTCTCATATACTGTATGTGCATTGAACCATGTGTGGCTGAAAAGTTTATGTGCTGCAGGAAGGAATTGATAAACTTTCTACTGTAGCTAGCATACATAGGAAGACCAGAGCCAGGCTAAAGATGGGTTAGAGGTAGCGAGAGGTTCTATTATGCTACACGGCTCCATGATTAATGAGGGTTATTGGCCTGGAAGAGAGAGCCACGTGAGGGCTGCAAGCCCATTAGAAGCAATCTGTCACTGTCAGAAACTCACACCTGTTGTTGCAATGATCGGAAGCAACCCTGAAGAGTATGGGTCCTGATATCACTGTTGACTGATATAAAGATTCTGCAAAAGACCCCAACATCATAGATTGTGGGATCTCTGACTTGACCTGGCTTGACATGTGTCCCTATGGGTTTAGGATTTAGTTAGGGGGAGATTAAAGAGTGATCATGTGTCAATAGAATGGCCAGTGTTTTGATTGTTGGCTTTTTGCTACATTGGATGGATTTAATATACTTCTGTTTTGTTCAGCACCAAGGCCTCCCCACAGTTTGATCCACAAAGTAATTGTGCGTCTGTTAAAAAGTTTATTTTACACCTGTTGTCTTCACAGCTTGTCCACATGGGAGCTATGGGCAGGCCTGCAACAGTGTGTGCCGCTGTCAGAATGGAGGCACGTGTGACCCTGTGACTGGAAAGTGTTTGTGTGCTCCTGGGGTAAAAGGACTGCTCTGTGAGGATGGTACGTCTGTGCACACTCAAACTGACACACATGTGCTTACACACACACACACACACAGTGCGTACACTTTGTAAATGCACCCACCTTGTTCGAGGTTGCTTGTGATACCGCAGTAACCTCCTTTGACTCTGGTGGTTAACCGTCAAGAAGGGCTTTTCTTCACCAAAATTATTTGATTAAATACTTTTACATGGGCAGACAAAATTAAAGTATAGTAGAATGATTATTTGATCTCATTTCATACATGAGACATCAAATTATTTAAACAGAGCACACCAAATACTGAGAATGAGTATTTTACTCTTTGACTGTTAAATGTGCTTCTCGTCAATCTTTCACCAGTATTGTGTTTCCAAAATTTAACAGGCTCAACAAAAGACTTAGAAATGGTGAAGAGAAACAGAAATACATGAATGCATGTCATCATTAGTCATACTATGAGCCCATGTAACAGTGTGAACTTTATTTGTGTAGACTGTGTGGGAAAGTTGTAAAGATGTAATGGAATCAGAAAGGCCTCAAATATATATATACGTCATCTGGAAAATCATTTGTTGGCTTACCAAATGAAGTCTTCTTGAGTGAAAGCCTTGCATACGTCAACAATGTGGTGTTAACAATAAAGAATTTCCTGGATTGTTGAACGACTGAAAGTTTTACATAATAAATAAAACAACTCAATTCCTTAACCTTTACACAGTTGCAAATGTTAGAAGGATAGTTTTTTCATTAGCATCAAATGTAGATATTTCTCAGAGTCTAGTGTTTAAAGTTGTCCGAAAAGAAGGACAAAAGTTGAGTTGAACACACTTAAGTTGAAAAATATTTTCACTCACAGGCTGTCCAAGAGGTTTTTTTGGGAGGACCTGTAGAAGAAAATGCAATTGCCCCAACAATGGACCCTGTCATCGTTTGTTTGGAGCCTGCCTTTGCTCTCCAGGGCTATATGGACGTTTCTGCCATCTTGGTGAGTGCAAAAGATATCAAGAATACAATCTATATTAATGATTATGAGGAGAATAAAATATAACTAAGTGTGTATGGTTACAAGTTTTATTTGATGATTATAAAAACGCATCAAGTTTAAAGTTATTGGAAAATGTTTTAGGTAGATGAAAATCACTGTTCCAGTTTTGATACATAACATATCTATACATACATGTGCATATGTAATTAATGATGTAATCATGCAAATAGTATTTGAATATCAGACCAGTTCTTTTTAACTGCAAGCCATCATGACTAGATTTTGATATAAAGAACTTTTTGTACACATTTTACATGAAAAGCATCCACATCCCATTCTCTCCATTTGATTATTCTGATGGATCGCTTGCTGTACTTAACCGTTTGGACGGTGGCACCAGGTGAAAGGGAAGTTCTTTTGGAAGCCAGTAGCCCTCCAGTTTTCCCTCGATTAGGTGGACTGCCAAAGCAAACTCCTCGTTGTCCAGCATACCATCTCCATCGACATCCGACAGCCTCCAGATGTGAGCGAGCACAGAATTGGGCAGCAGAGTAGATGTCATCCACTCTTTCACCTTAGCGCCGCTGAGTTTGCCATCGTGTGGACTTAGGTTGTAGAAAATCTCATCATATTTTGGCTTGTATTTCTCCACAACCCACTCATCCAAATCTGCCTCACTGCTTTCATCATCTTTGGGGAGCTCCTTGAAAGGATCTTTCCGGAATTGTTCACGCCTGAATGTTCCCAAAAATTCTCCATCCAAAACACTGGGCAGAGATTTCTTCATCTGTTCTTGTTGCTGGAGCAAGGGAACCAGTTTAGCTATGTCACTGGTAAGCAGTTTATCCAGGGAGGTCATTAAACTTGACTTCAGTGTCTTGAACTTTGAGAAGTCTTGTCCCAGAAGTTTCTCCTGAAAACAGATGTAATCACAATATATTCAGTCAACATGTCATTGTAAATTGGCATGTGAAACATTCAATGCAGAACTTTTTGTTTGGACCTGCATCTTGGTGCAGTCAGGAAAGTCGCCGGCTGGGACTTGGCGTTGTTGCTGGATCTTGTTGAAAATGACAGGAAGCTGGTAGATCAGATTGTGCTTTTTACTCTCTTTGCAAAAAATTGTAGGCATCTCCTGCTTCAGATAGCTGATAATGTGTGCATGAGCCTGACAAGGGAACAAATCAGACAGATGTGAGGGTCACAACAACAGCAGTTGGATTTATGTATTTATACTCAAGTCATGATTTTGAATAGTTTACCCTCACTAAGCGTGCCCTCTTCACCAGATCATTCAGCTTGCGGACTGCAGCATTGCGTGGCAGGTTTCTTATGTCAGTCAGGAGGTCCTCCTCCTCCAGCTCTATCAGGTGGTAGTGGTCACACATCTGCCTCGGCTCTGACCAGAAGGATCCAATGTACACCCGCAAGATTTCTGGGGTTCGAAATACTTTCCCCAATGACCACATGAGGGCACCATAGACCCTCATGAGCTGCTGAGAGTCCACCCTGTCAGCTTTGTTGAGAACCACACGCAACTTGTCCTCATAGCCACAAAGAGCCCCAAAGGCCCGAGTGAGCTCATCAGAGAACTCCAGTTTGTGTGCATCGAACAGCAGGATGATCCGATCCACACGCTCTGCAAACCAGCGCAGCACTGCTGGGAAGTCATACCCTGTGGATAAGGAACAAAACATAGGGTTTTCATTAGCACTGTGAGGGATGGGGAGAGCCACGTAGCCTTGAGGCATAGAGGGATATGTAACACTTCCCAATGACCCTTGCTGGTTTCTGGCCATTTAGTTACACCCATTAAAAATGCTTTCATAAAACAAATGCACGGACAGTTATTACTCCTCCCAGATCGCTGTTATATTACTTCATCTGCTGTGCTTCTGATTTCCAGCGAGTGTTATGTTGGCCTGACAGCAGCAATGCAGCCCAGCAGTAACTACCTATGACTAATTATCTTAAAGCAAACACCTACTGATTCCTTCAGATATTGAAAAGCAATGTAGAAACCCCTCAGTCTCACCTCGACTTAGTTTTCTTTTAGCAGCAGTTAAGATCCCGGGAGTATCAATTATACTGATACTTTCAAGAAGTTGATTTGGCATCTGGACACATTGAAACCTTTAAAGAAAAGACAATAAGCTAAAATGCTATTAGTCACTGTGCATTTTAATACAGATACGCTTCTCAGTCATTTAATCAGCATAGTAATAGTATATTTATTTGACAGTCATCTTTATTTCCTTTTATTTTTGTGATATTACATCCAGAAGATGATCATTTCAGGATGCAGTTTTTTTCAGACAGGTACACTTTTCTTCATCTTTATTTCAAAAGAGACTTTGCTTCTTTAAGGTGCTCTGTCTTGTGACTAATCTGTAACCAATAGATCAAAGAGCAACATCTCCCTTCAACTATACTTAAGTTTTCCAGCCTTTTTGACCTGCATTCCTTCATGTTTTTTCAAAAAGCATCCCAACATTTATTTAATTTAAATTTCACTTTTGTGCAGGACTGCTCTTTTTCTTGCCTGCATTCCTTTTCTGAAAGTCTGTCTTTACTTTTTCGTGCTGATTCCCCTCACCTGTTTAGAAATGAATTCCCAAAAGGATCTAGGTTGCGAAAGGGCTTTTTTGGATCCATTGTAAGGGCATTCCCAGGTATGATTTGCTCTTCCTCTCCATGCATAAGGGCAGTGAAGCAATCAGTGGTTGGCTCTGGTCCCACTCTGCTACCAGCAAAATCCTGCTCTATCAGATACCTGCGAATTCACATGGTTCAAACCATCTCTGTTTTCAGTATCATTATCTAATGTTCCTTCATGCATGCAAATACAATATATAAATTATTTTAAATAACAATAGCTGTGACCCTTACCGGATGAAAGTGGTCTTTCCTGTCGAATACTGACCCATCACCAGCACCATTGGTTTGTTGTCAAAATCTGCATCTTCATAGCTCGGTGAATGGAAGTGATGGAAAGAATAGTGTTTCTCTATTGGCAACAGCCTCTTGTAATAAAGATTTTTCAGCTCTTCTGTCACCACGTTGACTTCCCCCGACGTTTTAGGGGTGCTCCTAAACCTCCGCAAGGACATGGTGAGGAAGTTCTGCTGTTGGCTTTTCAGTGCGGGAGCTGCTCAGGCTACAAAGAATAAACTGTCCGATGGTAGAGCACGCACAAAGAATATTATCAGATTCTCGCAGCTGTCTGCTCCATCCTGCAGCGGGACATTTAGAGGGTGGAGGAGGGTGTAACCAGAGCTTGCAGCTGCACCTAACATGAAGCCAATGTGGAGTGGGACAGGGTGGAGTGCAGTTCAGTGTTTGTTGTTGAGTAGGGACAATCTTGGCTGAATTCATCAGCTGTGATTGGGGATGTGGCTGTGTTTCAGCTTTAAAAAATAATGCACATTCCTTAAAATCTATCTATTTATGCAGATATGCACGTGCTTAAGCTTTAAAACAAAAGTTAGCACAATGACTGCTACAATTGGAAAGAAAGGGGTTACAGGAATAATTAAATGAAAGACGTACCATCGGTTCTGTGAAGCTGAATAAAACTGGAAGCAGTGGTCACATGACCTAGATTGGCAGACTTTGCAATAACACAGTTTGTTATGCTCATTCTTAAGTGAAATTTGATAGTCAAGGGGTTTTCTCTCAGCATATTTTCTCAATTACCACCTAAACTTAAACAAACAAAAACATTTTTTTTCCTGGCTTTGCGTAAAAGCGATGAATACAGCCGTTACATCGCAGAAACACTGTAAGTTGAGGAGCTTGTTATGCGACAGTAAATAGCTGTACATAACCTTTCCCTACAGTACAGCACAAGCTACGGCAATCTTTTACATATGTCATCTGAGCTCAGACCTAGTTTTCCGCTTTCAAACAAATCCTCTCCATCCCTCAGCTTGTCCCAGGTGGGCTTATGGCGCTGGGTGTTCCAAGGAATGTGACTGCATTCAAGAACGTTCTACCGGCTGTGACCCCAAAACTGGGAGCTGTTTCTGCAAGGCTGCATACCACGGTCCAAAGTGTGAGAGAGGTAGAAGTGCCTGATATTATGTCATGTAGACAGTAAATGTGAAGTGTTTTTGTGAGGACAGCTCACATCTCAAAGTAACATTATTGTTGCATTAATACAACAGTCGTGTCAACCACTGAAGAGAAAGGCAGTAGGAGTCACCCTCTTTCTGTAAACTGCTGTTTTCACATAATGACATAATAGAATACGTTCAATTCCAGGATTGTCTATTGTACAGACTTCTGCCAAAATGTTTTGTTTTCTATCATGTTAATCCTCCCCATGTCCCAATGAAGAATGTGATCCAGGCTTTTTTGGTCCCGGCTGTGAGAAGCCATGTGACTGTCCAGGTGGAGGGTCATGCGACCCCAGGAGTGGAGAGTGCATTCAGCGATGTCCTGCAGGCCTTCATGGAGCTCAGTGTCAGCTGGGTGAGACAGAACTGCTTTGACGCTTTGTGTGGGGCATACCCTAAGAACGGAGCTATTTACTAAAGCTCATGTTTGGCCTCGTTTCTTCAGGTCTAATTTTTACTGTGAAGTTTCGTGCCTCAATAACATCACTGCGTTTTATTTTTCAAATGCTACAAAAGAACATTGTGAGAGAATGTGCGCTGCCATGTTGTTTTGTGTCGAAATGTGAGGTTATTACATGCTTTATTCATGTATACAGTAGGTGCCATTTCTGATAAACGATGTCCCATTGACTAACATAAAGTAATAGAAACTGTTATGATTGTCCTTTTTTCAACCTTCACTTCATTTTTCATTTGTCCATATGCATTTTTATTCTTTCCTTCTTCTTTACATACTGTTCTACTTTTGATGGATTGAATGGATTTAGCTAGTGAAAAAAAGATTGCTTTCTCTTGAATTCACCTGGTCAGTGCAGGTGTTCTTGTTATTATAAACTGTACAGCCACAGACATAAAGGTCCCAGCACTGCGGGGTGTACCCTGGCTGTTTACCCTGCTGATTGATGAAAAGTTCAACCCTCTATGGTGTGCTCTGAAGTCATGCTGAATATTGTTCTTTTGGTAAAAGAATCTCTCTCTGCGTCTCTGTGGGGTGGGCTATGACAACACAGTAAAAATACAGTATGTCAGTATGTATGCACAGACCAGGCCTGGGCCTGAAAAGTTTGTTAAAAACAAATAAAACGAGTAACTGACAATTTCTGAGTTTGTGCTCAGCTCCAATTGCAGGTCAGGTCATGATAGGGCCAATTTACTTTAGTTACTGCTTCAGAAGCTATTGGCAGCGGCTGTATAAATAAATATCTATAGAGCTTCACTTGAGCAGCTCTTTCTAAACCAGTCAAGAATAATCCAATCCCACGTTTTGTTTCATGCGCTCAGCCACAAATGATCTATCTCTGTTTTTAACTTCTTTGGGTTTTTCTGTGTCTAGTGTGCCAAGCTGGGAGCTATGGAGAGAACTGTCGTCTGACCTGTGACTGCCGAGGAGCTCCTTGCGACCCAATAACTGGACAGTGCATTTGTGCTCCTGGGAAGACAGGAAACTCATGCCAGGAAGGTATTTATTTTGTCAGACGATTGTTTGAGGAGAATTTTCAGTAAGAACACAATCCCCTACGGTCCAGTTTGAACACTGCAAGCATGCCATATCTTTAGCTCATCGATCGACAATGTTGTTTGTGCTCTGCTTACGTCTCTATCCCAAACCGACTTGCAGTTTGACAGTTTAACTTGTGCTGTTGCCGTTGATGTCAGAGATTTAACCTCTTTCATTCGTTTCTCCCCAAATTATTTAGGCATGAGTAGCTGTATGGTTTTCCAGTGAATTGACAAACACAAGTCAGTTACTGCTTGTTTAATTTGAAGGCTGCTTAATGCTTTCCAGACTGCCCTGATGAGTTCTGGGGATCAAAGTGCCAGTCTTCTTGTCCAAACTGTGAGAATGGTGGCACCTGTAACAAGCAAACTGGTCTCTGTGACTGCAGACCAGGTTTCATAGGAAACCTCTGCCAAAAAGGTTAGTTTTCACAACTAACCCTAACTTTCTTGATGAAAAAAAAATCGGAAGATGTGATTTGAAAGAGCTGAACAATAAGCTAACAATTTCTTGGTGAAAAGGAGACTAAGCTCCACAAAGCTAAAAAACTGAGCACAGAGATAATGATGTTGGAACTCAAAACACTTATACATACACTGCTGTCAACGGTTTGGCCACATCCCCTCAATCCAAATGCGTACAAATGTGTGTACAAACATTTATCTCATGTTGTGCATATGCTTAGCTAGATTAAATGGACTCACACTCTCTGCTCATTCTCAAGACTTCCATCCTTTCTCACTGTTCCAAAATTCCCAGTAAAGCTGCTTTCATTCACACATTTTTGCTTTGTTTGTCAGACAGCTAAACACATCAGAAAATATGACTGAAAATCATCCTATTAAGAATAGATTGTCAACTTGTGGCTGCCTAAAGCATTCCCAGACTGTGATACTGCTCTAGTGTAGTCCCGTAGTTTTAGAGCCGCAGCTCCATCTGACAAAATCATCACTCATGTCAAACACTTCTGTGTGAACATTTCAGCCACAATTACATGCATGACGATTTCCCTGCAGCAGAATGTCAAACTCCTACAGCCTACAGCAACATCAACACATGCCGATAGTGGTTTGTTTAAGTCTCTCTCTAACCGAAGCTGGACATTTAGCAGTGACGTCAAACATTTTATGTCATCCAAATAAAATCATCATTTGCAATACATGGGATTTCGAAATACCTGTACCCCAATCTCCTCAAGGCATTATTTTTTTACATTTACATTTTTAAAAGTATCACATTTTTTATCTAATTGGTATTGAGCTGATTTAGTGATTGTGATTAAACCAGACAGAGGATTGTTCTCTGATGATCTGTCTCTCGTATATAGAGTGCCCTACAGGTTACTTTGGACCAGGCTGTCTGGCACGATGTTCTTGCAGCCTTGATGCCAGCTGTGACCCACAGAATGGACTGTGCCTCTGTCCTCCTGGAAAAAGAGGTCATGATTGCTCTAAAGGTAGGAAATTATTTAATTTAAAACTAACTAAAAAAGGAATGAAATGTCACATTGATGAAGAAGAAATAATCAATTAGGAAGCATTGGAAAGTTTTTTGCCTAACTTTTATATTTGCGTGTTTACAGCTTGTGAACCTGGTTTCTGGGGCCAAGGCTGCATCAGCAGATGCAAGTGCCAGAGCAACTCTCTTAGCTGTGACCCTGTCAGTGGGCAGTGTGAGTGTGAGGCAGGCTATATGGGGCCCCTCTGTGATCACAGTAAGTGAACATGCAGGTGTACCGTCATAACCTCCAAAATACATATTTTAGTGAATGCTGCCACCATGGGGTCACATTAGATATAGCATATTAAAAATATCATTTGTAATATTGAAATATATTTTCCATAGACATTTGTTAAACACATCTGGTAATTAGATATTTTTTATATGTCCATGGCACTTTTATCACACAATATACTGTAAGTATACAATCAATGTATTATTTTGCACAAATCATAAGAATAATTTTTTTACCGGCTGCGTTGTGTTCCATGTTTTCTGCTTGTGGAGCTTCATAGGTTAAAATGATTTGATTTGTTATCTTGCTACAGATTTCCTCCCCACCATAATGTCTGTGTTATGTTCACACACTCTGTCCTTCACAGAATGTATAAAAGGCACTTATGGTCGCCGCTGTGTTCAGCAGTGCCAGTGTCAGAATGGAGCTCAGTGCGACCATGTGAGTGGAGCCTGCATGTGCTCCTCCGGATTTACCGGAACATTCTGTGAAAAAAGTGAGTAATGTGTCATTTGGATAGTATATTCTCTGTTTTTGTGAAATATGAAACCAGGTTCATAAACAGTATACTTGTGTGGACAAAGTAGACACATAGAAACTGAGATCATCAAAGTATTTAACTTTGATCATTTTTGACCTGGTCATTTTGGTATTAACACATAGAACAAGCAAACTCCTCACAGAAAAGTCCCAGTGATGATTACAACCAATACAAATTAAGCTGATGCCAGAACTGATGGGAAACCAAAAAGAATGAGACATTTCTGGTGTATATTAATACTAAACTTCTGGGAGATTTAGCTGGTGATTAAATTTAGCAATTTAGATTAGATTTAGCAGGTGAAGGTATCTGGAGGTTATCTGGTAACCAAAAGTTTAGCATTTCCAATTATAGAATGGATGTTGGCTTATCACTTTGTGCTAAATGTCAGTCAAGGGCTAAGAAAAAATTTACATGTTAATCTTTCAATGAATTTTATTTCACATATGTAGTGCATATTCAATTAAATATGTACACGTAGTTTCTGAGGGTGAAGTCCAAAGTAGGAAATTATCATTAAATTACTGCTGAAATATGCTTTACTATAGAGTCCTTAGGCAGGTGTAATGCCAGTGATCAAGTCTGAGTTGATTTTTATGCTGGCGTCTGAGAACTAAGTCCGCCAATTCTCTGGTCATAAGGTCATTTAAGATGCAGGGAGACCAAGTGGATGCACGTGTTGAGGTTAGACGAGTCTACATTTGAAGCTGCTTTGGAGTAAATTGGTTTGATACGCCAAAGAGAATGACATTCCCAACAGATATGAATAAAAGGTGAAAAAAAAGCTTCCTTGATGACATGGAAGTATGTCAACACGGCATGGATAACTTGCATATGTGTGAAGGCAGCAGTAATGCAGATGCTAATATTGGAGAAAAATATGCTTCCATCAAGGTTAAGTCCTTCCCACAGGAGATACGTGTTTATTTCTGTAGGATGCCAGACCTCACAGATTGTGTGTTTGACTGACCGGCCTGCAGACCAGATATATTTCCCTCTCTTAATGTGAGGTGTCCTGTGATGAGGAGAGGCAGAAAATTAAGACCCAAAAAAGAGCTGAGGCATTTGATTTAGTAAAAATATACACTAAATGCATTGGCAAAAATGTGAAACTTCCTGATTGCCCGAGTTAGAAAAGTGTAATTAAAAGAAAATGTGATATGACAAGTTCACAAGCAAAGTTGTCTCACAACTTTTTCTTCTTTCTGAGTGTGGTGCTGGTGTCAGATTTTGCATTTCTATATACATACCTTATAAAGCCTTTTTGGATTTGTGTGATAACTAGAGGCGTAAATATAGAAGACACAATTTTATATCCTGAACAAAGTTGAAGTGTTGACATAACAAAATAGGGAATTTCCATCATGCATCGTGCTTTTTAAAGACGATTCCAGCAGATTGTTAAATGAATGTAACTAGCTGATCGTTCAAACAGCTAAACCTTTAAAACACTAGAGGGAGCTGCAGGACATGTTTTTAATGATCCAAATGTCTGCCACAGTTTCACTGGTTCTTCATACGGATTCAATGAATCACCACATTGGTTTGTTTAATGTCATGAGTGAAACCTTTTTGAAACCACGCAAATCCCAAGATGTAATTTATATTCTTATTTCTGGGATATATGGAGTGTGGCTTTGCAGCCACCCTGCCATAGCAAAGAATTCATGTAACTATTTATCTCATCATTACGACATTTGTTAAGAGCCGCGACCGTCCAAGAGCTTTACAAATCTAATAGATTTGTTCTTGATTATAGTCCTTTGACTTGAAAAATCCTTGTGTTATTACAGGTTGTAAGATTTACCGTGAGTTCACTACCCGGCTTAGAAATTCATACCACCTCCATAGTACACAGGGCACTGTAAATCAGAGCCTCATCGCACTGGAACAGAGCTTCTCATCCTTAGTCATAACAGTTTAATGGCCTCACATGTAGTCATCACTCTGATTGGACGCTGCTGTGGAAATGGGGCAATCGGTCTGACCAGATTTAATTTTCTGAAGGCTCATTCCCTTTAAACCAAGGTGTCCAGTTTCTCAGTCTTCGACTGGGCCTCTTCCTTCAGGGGGACTCAGGAAGAGGCCTGCTCTAAGAGAAGGTCCAGATCTCTTTATTTCATCTGTTTCTCAGAATTAAAATGGAAAGAAATGCCTTGCCTCTGTTGGTCTTGGTACTACTGTCTGTTGACAGTTCTCATCCACACATGGGTTGCAGCTTACATATCCTTATTTCAAGAAATAACTGGTTCCACGGTGCTCAGATACCTCATTACTATGCCGAAAGCATTGTTGTGGTGCTGGCATTGATGCTAAGACTTCTTTTCCCAATTATTACTGCAGGAAAGAGGGCTTTGTGTTGACATTGGTCCAGCACACCACTTCTTCAATTAGCAGGAATCATGCTGGTTTCCTTCTTTGATGTTTGCTTCAAAACAGTTCATTTGGTTGCAATAGAAAGGACGCTGGTTCAACTAGCATTGAACATCCGCATTATTGTTTGACAAACTGGGTTGTTTAGTTGTTCTAAAGATCCTGAACGGCACCAGGAAGTTCTATTCTATGTTCTGTCTATACGCTTTATTTCTGTGGTGCGCTCTCCCCGGCTGTGTGGTCCCTGGACCAACTTTATGGGCTGACAGCAGTGGCTCTTACACAACCGGGGATCTGGAAATAATCCTGCTGTCTTAAAGAGCTCATTTAGTCTAAAGATGGAGCCTTTCAGTGATGGCACAGTGTGTGCGTGTTTGTGAGTGCAGTGGAGGACTCAATGCTTTCTGCCTAGCTATAAACAAAGACGTTTACAATGAGCCTACGTGTACAATCGCAGGCAGACAATGCGTGTGTATCAGATGACAGATTGCTGCTCTGTGGTTGATATGGAAACCAGTTACCCCCTGTTGTCACGAACAAATAATATACAGTGATGTTAAAGAAAAAGGATACCCTCTTTGTGGATCAAATATTTATGTATCGTGACATTGGAAGACGACAACAAAATGTAGAATCTAAGCTTATGTACATTTGGTTCAAAAGGGTGTTGCATTTAGGAAAGTACTGCACGTATAAAACATATCATAACTTTCTGCTTCCACAGGAGCTAAGTGCGTGCCACTTAACAAATGCACGGAATTACTTGATAATCAGCAAGTGTGAACACCTTGATGAAAGCACAAGCTTGTCAGTTTGCTGGTTTGATTCGTTCAGGTTTGACTTAATTCAACTTCAAGGAGGAAAGACACCTGTCAAAAATTTTAGTTTTTACAATTACATTTTTTTTTTATTGTTCTTATTTGGTCCTGTGTCTGTTCTTGGGTTTGCAGTTTCTTGTTGGGTCTGCGTTCTGCAAGTTTCTTGGTTTCTCTCCTGTATGTGCTGTTTCCCATTTTATTGTGGTGTTTCTTCTCAGTGTTCTGTTCATTTCTGTTTATAAGCTCAATTTTTCCTTTCCTTCTCTGTCACCTCCTCATCTAGGCTTTTCTCTTGTCTTCTACATTTTTTTCTGTTGTAGTTTTTGGATCATTTGTGGTATTTAACTGGTTTGTTTCTTCTATTTCATTTTCTGGATTTCAAGTTGAGTTTAATTATTTGGTATTCTGCCCGAGCTGTGCTTTATGTTATCCTTTTTAAAAAACATTTTAGTTTTCTCCAAGTCCCTTGCGTCCCATCCAGGTCCTCCTCCACATTCCGCTCCCAACTGTGACTAAATCAGCAGTGATCTCAGAGCAGTATTTGCTGCTCATCAGACTGGGAATGTTGTACCCATTTTAAGTCAATCGTTCTAGTGTGAGGGGGATTTTCAGAACAAACCTCAAACTAAATGGGCAGCTTTGGTCTTAATGCACAGCCACACATTTGTTTAAAACCAAACACTGCAAATCAGCACATTGACCTTATAACATCTGAAAAGGGCAGGAGGGCTGATGATATTGAGACCCATTCAGATAACTCGAAGTCACTGAGTCAACCAAGGAATCCATAAAATATTCATACATCCGTGTTTTATACCCACTTAATCTGAGTAGGGTCGCTAGGGGGCTGAGGTCTGTCACAGTGGTCATTTAAGAGACGAGCATCCATGCTCAAACTCACTCCCATGGTCAATTTGTAGTCAAACTACTATGCTACTGCATGCAAACTCCACACAGAGAGACCCACCTCAAATTAAATGATCAAAGAAATGTACAACAGTATAGATGAAAAAGCAAAAACCCAAGGTGCTGCAGAGTCCAGACATGAAGTGAAAGGCTATGATTAACAGAGCTCTGCATGAGCAATCAAAGTGGTTTATTTTAAAGTTTTAAAGAAGATGGGCTCAGAATGTGAGACACAAAATTATTACTATTAAAGCAAGTGCAAGCACAAGAATAAGTAGCTTTAATTTGATGAAGATCACATTTACCTTATTTTAGAGCCAATAAAGATAAAAGAGTTATTTTTTTGTTGTTGTACTTTGACACATAAAAACTGAGAGAAAACTAAAAGTAGGTCTGATTTATTTAGCCTATGACTATATTATGTTCACCAAAAGTTTTGAAGAATTAGTTTAGTGTCTTTTTTTTAATTGTGTTTGATGAAGATATTGTAGCTTTAGAGCTGTGTCGGGCCACTGTTGGATGGATAAATAAGTTACATATTTGAGCATCGTTCCACTCCTGCCGGCCAGCTTGTTGCCATGGTGTCAGTGAGCGCTGTCCTAACAATAAACAACCGACAATAAACCAGCGACAGTGCTGCCACTGAGTTAATGTACAGCTGTATTAGGATGACAGCATCCTCAGTGGGCTAGCTTTAATAACATTTCAGCCTAACCACTACAGAGGCAGTGGAAGGCGTCATGCTGTCAGCGTGGGAAAACAGAGATGGGCACGCCAGAAACTGCTGAGCAGGAAAGATACTTTTCTCATTTTGAAGCCTTGAGGCAGAAAGGAAGGAGTGGACAGCATCATCATTTAGAAGGGAAGGAGGAGACTATGATGCACTAACCGTACAAAAAGACACCCACTGACATTTAGGATGTAATTAGGAGCAGTTAAATGCGGTCTAAACTGGAGAGTGCTGATATAATTTGGACGGATTCAAGCCCTGTCTGTGCTCAACAGAAAACAGAAGGAAGTACGTGGAGAGAGAAATGTCAGTGCTTGTTGTGGGTCAGTCAGGCTTTGGCATGGGCTGTGTTTCTGTAAATAAAGACCAGAGTTAAAGAAGATGATCTTGCAAAGTGTAGTTACTGGGCTTGATGTAGCCTGTGACAAATTGCGTGATCAAAATCCAGGCTGTGAATAAATGCAGTCATTCTTTCCTGCTCTGGTTAAGTCATGCTTACAGACAATATTTACATCCCAGTAGTGGAAAGCCTCATTCATCCCACCCTTCCTGGCCAACTTCTTCTGGATCAGAGGCACCATGTTTTCCAAACTCTCTGTGAGTGTCACCTAACCATATATATGCCCTAAACGTGCTTTTTAGCTCTCCCTGAGCATGGGAAACAGACCCATACACTGACATCGCTTTGCATCAGCAGCAGTTGTGTTGGTTGTGTGTGTTTGTTTCTGTGCGGAGTTCACTAACCCGGGTTTGTTTTGCTGTGAGTTAGTGGGGCCTGTGGACACAGCAGGTGCTCCATTTACCGGCTCTTTGTGCTCTCTCTACCCAAAAAGAGAGAACGGGCTCCGAGCCGCCGTAAACTTTGATGTGGCCCCGATCCGCCGCACATGTGTGGGACAGGAGTTGCCTTAACGAACGCAGACGCTCTGCGCCAGCCGCAGCGTGGTTCTGCAATTTGATATTGGTATTTTTGGGAGGGTGGCAGCTCGGAGAAGGGAAAGTAGGAGGAGGAGAGTGGGAGGTGGGAAAGGGGAGAGAAAGAGCGACGTGCAATAGCTGGCATCCGGAGCTTTTTCTCTCCTCTTTTGTGAAGTTGCCAGTTCTAACCAGTCGGATGTTTTATCTCGGCCCTCAGTGTGCCCGGACGGCTTTTACGGTCTTGAATGTGGCCAGATGTGCAAGTGCAGGAACGGTGCCCGCTGCCACCACATCACAGGAGCCTGCCTATGCACCGCCGGCTGGGCAGGACCCCACTGCATTCTGGGTAATAGAAGCCACATCATTAAAACAGGGTGTGAGGGAGGCCCTCACTGTGGCCCATCACAACATCCTCTCCTTAAACACAACTAAGATGTGTTTGTGAACAATTATCTCTATAATGAGACAGTGCCAATGACTTTTTTTAGGGATGGGTAAGGGAGGAGAGAGGGGGGAGGACAAGGGTGCCCTCTGGCATACAGGGTTTAATTGAGGTCTATTCTGGATAAATGCACCCATATGTATGTAGAGATCAACATCAAGGAAAAAAAGGGACATAGCTTGGAAGAGTCTTTTAGTAGCTAACCAATCAGTGTTCTCATGCTAAAGTTTCTTGAGGATTTCATGCCTTTGTTTTAATGAAGCCAGTGAAATGCCCACTAAAGTTCTTAGTCTGTCATTCTGCAGCCTTATTCAAGACTTTCCTCTCGCCACAGCCATTTTGTGGTTCCAACTACCAGAGCCAGAGTCAGCAGAAAGCCACTAGCATGACTTAATGGCCCATCTCTGTCATTAGCGCATTTTCCTCCTTAGACTCCAAATGTCATGTTGAACTTTGATCATTAATGAGAAGTTTGCAATCTGCGTCCTAAAAAACCATGATATCTAAAAATATCATGGAAGCCCACTGCTCTCGTGCACTGCAGAAAATGTTGGTATTTAGGAATAGGTGGAAGTTTTTCTGATGTTATCATGACTGTGTGTGTTTTTCATGTGGGCAGAATGCTCTGAAGGGCATTTCGGGGAGCAGTGCAGTCAGATCTGCCGGTGTCAGAACGGAGGCAGGTGTGACCACGTCACCGGGCAGTGCAGCTGCATGGCTGGATGGACCGGAGTCAGCTGCCAACTGCGTGAGTAGCCAGTCACTTCAGAGGCGAAACACTGTGATAAACTACACAGTTAACAAACTTTACTGCTGTTTCGGAGCTTTGATGTGTTTTTTCTGCCAAAAAATAGGCAGTGGTTTATTTTCGTACAATGAATTACCATTAGTAGACTTTTAACTTTCTTATTGCCTGTGATATTAGTCTCATAGAACTTTTAAATTCTGACTTGAGGTTATATGTCACAGAAATGAACTGGTAACAATCATAAAAATTGTAGCAATAAAGAAAATCTGTAATTGTAGCTTCCTATTTTATCTGTATGATATTGATCAATGATGTTTGAGCAACTCCAAGTCTAAACAAATGGGGGCCTTAATACTACTGAATTATCCACTTCACACATATTCTGTCATACATTTAAAGGCAATTTATCTAATTAACACATTTATCTAATGGCACAGAAATTAACTGGTAACAATCATAAAAATTGTAGCAATAAAGAAAATCTGTAATTGTAGCTTCCTATTTTATCTGTATGATATTGATCAATGATGTTTGAACAACTCCAAGTCTAAACAAATGGGGGCCTTAATACTACTGACTTATCCACTTCACACATATTATGTCATACATTTAAAGGCAATTTATCTAATTAACTGTATATATACTGTTGTGTGTGTGTGTAGCCTGTCCACCTGGATATTATGGGGAACACTGTTCTGGCCAATGTTTATGTCAAAATGGCGGGTCTTGTAACAGTCTGAATGGCCAGTGCTCCTGCCCATCGGGATGGACTGGAAGCACTTGTGAGTTAGGTGAGTTCTACTACTTCTTCTACTTCTAAATGATGATACTACTAGAACTATGGATTATGTAAAAAAGTACATTTTTCTCTGAATATTACCGAAAGATTAGCCTCTCTGTTTTTTTTCCCTGTAAATGTCTTTCAATCCCTCACAGAGTGTGAGGACGGGCACTATGGCGAGAGCTGTGCCCAGACTTGTAGATGTGCCAATGCAGGGAGCTGTGACCAAGTAACGGGGAAGTGTGTGTGTCTTCCTGGTTGGACTGGAGAGCTTTGTCAGTCAGGTGCCTTGTTAAATTAACTTAGGAACTGCCTCTTTTCTCACACTTTGCACTTGTTCCAACACATACTTCTTCCACAAGTTTTTTCTCCTTCCTGAACTCTCACGCATGCTGACCACGGATGTGTTTGGTCTGAAGCCTGTTCTGAGGGATTATTTGGGAGAGCCTGCGAGCAGAGGTGCGACTGTGTCCACAGTTCGGGTTGCCACCATGTGACGGGCCGCTGTGAGTGCGAGCCAGGCTGGAGAGGAGCCAGGTGTGACGAATGTGAGTGTTTGAGGAGCTGAAAGATTTCGTCGACATGAAAGTGGCGGGACAGAACATTAGGGTAAAACTGACTGCAGGTTCCTGCATGTGTGTATCAACTGTCAGCCTGTCACCAGGGCTTCTATGGTGCTTCCTGTGCCCAGCAGTGCCAGTGCCAGGCCGGGGTGTCCTGTCACCATGAGACTGGGAATTGTGGCTGCCCAGCGGGGCTCACGGGGCCTGGCTGCGAGAGAAGTAAGAACAAAATAATCTCAGCGAAGCAAATGTATTTTTTTTATGCCATGGCAAGTTCCAGTTGTTTGCTCTGTTTATGCTCATTAAAATACCTTTTTTTGTCCTTGCTGCTGAGTAAAGATTAGAGTTTCCTTCATTCTTGGAAATGCACTCCACTCCTGCAGGAGACCCCCGCTATCACAGGACTGTATTAGAATGCTTCATTATTTACATCACCCTGTAGGTCTGCACGAGCAGCTTCACCACTTAGCCCTTCTCCCCCCCCCCCCCCCCCCCCACAGCCTAAGCTCCCTTCCTCTCCTCACACACTCTCCAGACATTTGATAAATGTTACACACCGGTTGCCAAGTAAAACAGAAGGCATTGTTTTTGTCTCCTCGGCGGCGGATAAGGGCTTTTGGAAAGCAGACATGCATAATGACAGCGCCGTAATTGCCTCTTTAGTCTGGAGTTCTTTCTTATCTGTCCCCCACGCTGCCTGCTGCTGCCTGACTGAGCTGCTGAGTGCTGTGGTCTCACCCACAAACATGTTTGGTTCACAGATTCATCTTGGTCGCTATGACTGATTGTCCAGGGACTTCATTCATTATTGTGATGAGTGTAAACGTATGGATGCAGAGAGAGTGTGTGAAAGAATGTCCCTCTGTGTCCGCCTGGCTTTGGGCACTAGGGAAAGTTGTTGGGAGTGTTGGTTTTGTTACCCGTCAATTACTGAATGTCCCAGTGTGTTCGTGGAATTATCTGAGGGGAGGAAAGGGAAATGGCATGTGTCTTTGTTCCCACAAACTGGCCAAATGTGTGCAGAGTTTAGGCCTTATCTGGAAAACTGTGCATTGCTGTACATTGTGATAATCTAACGCACTGTTTTGAGTTTCACACCAAACCATACGTTCAGTGATTTCAGAAAACAGTTACAGACAGAAACTTAAAGACATCATGACATCAGTTTTACCCTCCAAGCCAAATGCCGCCAGTGCTTTTTGCTGACACATCTATGGTGCTAGATGATCTTGACTGTGTCTTTCTAGGCTGTTCTGCTGGAATGTTTGGACAAAACTGCAGCCAGATATGTCGGTGCTCCGGAGTACAAGAGCAGTGCCATCCTGTGACGGGCAAATGCAGCTGCCTACCTGGTTATCACGGGCCACGCTGTGACCTGCGTAAGTGCTCTGTAAATTCCCTCACTCAGCGTTGGATTTAAAACATGATACAAGATGTGACTGTTCCAAATCTCGGCTGAGGACTTTCTATATGAAGTTTGGGATTTCCCCCACTTATGAGTCGGTTCTCTGTGGGTACTACAGGTTTCTGCTCGCAACCACATTAGGTTAGTTGGCATGTCTAAATTGATCATAAATATGTATGGTTATTTGTCCCAGGATGGCTTCGTGACTCATTTAGTGTGTGGCACATCAAAACTTGATGCCGTAAGATGTTCCAAGATCTTAAGATAGAAAAGATGGCGTTGCAGTGTGCACTGACACATGCTCATTTTAAAAAATGATTGAAAACCCTTCTTTTCTTCTTGACCTTAGAGCTTGAAACCTGATTGTATCCATTTTGTTTTAACAAAATGCTTTTTGTCAATATTTGATCCCTAACTGTTTTACGCTTTATGATATTTAACACTTGATTTGTGTAATTGTTGTTCTGCTGCACTTTGATGCAACACTTGTTTTAAAGTCACTTTAGATACGCTTAAATTAACATTAGCAGCCACCACTGTTTCTCCTTTTTGTTCCTCTTCTCTTGATGTGGTTTCCAGGATGTCGAGCGGGTTCTTTTGGACCCAACTGCAAGTCCCGGTGCAGCTGCAAAAATGGTGGCCGATGTGACTTCCGAACTGGAACTTGTTACTGCCCCCCTGGTTACATTGGAGCTGACTGCAGCTCAAGTAAGATGAAACTCCTTGTCCTTTAGAAGAAACATTTGTTATATTTCGTAAGTTTTCAAATGCAATTCTTGTTGTATTTCAAGAGTCAGGCCAGCTGCAATAAAGGTGATCCACAATGATAGAATAGGATTCTACTCACTCTGATAGAGAGTTTTGTATTTTAGAATGAGTGACAACATTTATATTTGTGCAGGTTGTCCAAGTGGGTACTATGGAAAGGACTGTGCAAAGCTATGCTTCTGTGGAGAAGGAGGGCAGTGTCACCCAGTAAATGGGAGGTGTAAATGCGCTCCTGGTAAGATGGGACTGTCTTGCCAACAAGGTAGGTCTGAACTAATATAATTAGCTACTTGTCAGAATAATCAAAAATATTTTCAGAAGTTAAGGGATTGTAGGAAAAATAGCAGAAAAACTGTAACGAATATGATTAGGCCCACATGCACATTTTGAACTAAGGGATAGTTTTTAAGCAAGAAGAGATGAATAATCTGTTTAATCAGAAGATACACTTTAAGCTTAGACAGTGTATCATGGATTGCTGTCTAAGCTTTTATTCAGGCTTTTATCTTTTACCAGTCTCATGAGTAAACAACGAGTCACCACTGATGCTGACATGCATCATTTGGCACCATTGGCTCTAATGAGTTCTTTAGAAACAGGAGACCTAACAGAGAGTGAGAAACATCCACTAAAAGGAGGGTGTAGTTTTCAATGTTTTTCTCTGTATATTTAAGGAACAAATTCTCCATTTCCTTAGAGTATCGCCTCTGATGATCACAGGGTTTTTTATTCCCTGGAAACAGAGGCCGAGCCGAGTTCTCTTTATCTCTCCTTTTATCAGCAATTTAGCAGGATTGCAAACGGGGGATTTCCAGTACAACTTGAACTAAATGTTCTCCTCTTCAATCTCTTGCCTGTACTTGAACACACCACCTCTTAAGTTCTACTTGTTGAATGTTTACAGAAACCTATAAGTAGCTCATTCTCTGTGTTCCGTGTCGGTGAATTTGGCAAGCAAGCAAACAAATAAACAGGAAAATCAAAGATGTCTTGCTTATTGTTTTCCCAATTCTAAATTACCCAGAGAGGCATGATTATTCTTTCATATCAGCGCCAAATTAGACTACTTTGCCATCTCTTAAATTAACTGTTGCTTAAATAAACATCAATGCGGTTAGTGCAGCATTGTGTTTGTATGTGTGTCTGCGGCATTTGTCTTATCATAACTTTTTCTGACCATTTCTGCAGTCTGTCCTAGGGGGCGCTATGGCCTGCAGTGCAGAAACACATGCCCCTGTCAGAACGGGGCTTTATGTGATCCCGTTGACGGGTCCTGTAAGTGTGGACTGGGCTGGACTGGACCCCAGTGTGACACTGGTATGCTATAACGTCCCAAAATGTTGCTTTCACTTCAGGCAGTTTGCTGACAGTGTAAATGGTCACGGGTAGAATACGCATTGTTTCGAATTACGAGTCTTGAAGTCTGAAGTCATCATTTTGGATCCTATATGTAATCGTGTCTGGATTCCAGGAACTCAGACCTGTTTACTGTTGGTCGAAAGACGGAATGACATTCATATATAGTCAAATAAATCTCCTGCTACACAGCCCATTGTGAGTCAGATTGTCATAAAAAGCTTTTTATTTCTTTTGTGTGGAAAAATACAGTGAAGCTGAATTAAAGTGGATTTTTGGGCAATCACAGTAAACCAGATCTTCCAAAACCAATCATGATCATAACTTGTGAAGGAGAATCTATACATTTCTTCATTCAAAAATTTCTTTTAAAATGTTCCACTGTTTCAAAGTTTTATTTCTAAATTGATGTTTTTTTATTCTATGAAATTATGTTGTACATCTAAAAATTCTAATGTGTTGAAATTTTTCTATCCTCTTGCAAATTAAATTTATAGTAAAAGCTTTGCGGACTCACATGAGACAATGATTTACATTTTTGTTTAACGGACAAATGCTGATAAGATGTTTGAATTTGCATTTCAAGTCAATATTCAAATAACTTTTTAACATGTCTGTGAAATTATCGTTATGCGTTACAAGGCAAATCATGAGCAAGATTATGCACCAATGTTATGTCTGAAAAAAGCACAGAAAGAGGCAGGTATGTTCTTTTTGAAAGAGCCTGGGTCAAACAGTTCTGTCTACCTGCAGCATGGGGCTGTGCAGTTAATTTGCATGGACAGATTAGATGAGAAGCGGGCAAACTGAGGAGAAATCACGACAGATTAGGCGGTGAACACAGCAGGTGCAAGACTAAGAGATAAGCTGTTGCACTCAACAAGCCAAGATACGGACAGGTCCATTAACCGATAGAAGAACATGGAGACTGTATCTCAAGGAATTTCAAAGGGAGTTTATTTCTTGACAAAAAAAATGTTTCGAGGACTTATTGACTTGACTGGTAAAAAACTTATACAGCCTATTTTTTATGTACACTGATTAGTTTTCTGGGGATGTATGGATGACAGAATAGGAATTAAAGAACTTATTGTTAGATGTTTTTACAGGTAATTTTCCTATAATCCATTTTTATAATTGAACGAGTGGATTTCAGAATTGTTGTTTGTCTGAGCGTGTGCGGATTTCTATGTGTTTTTTGTGTAGCTTGTTCACAGGGAAAATATGGGCTTGGCTGTGCGCTCGACTGTCCCTGCCTTCACAATGGAACCTGCGACCGATTTACAGGCAGCTGCACCTGCGCAGCCGGGTACTACGGCCCCTCCTGTCAACATGGTATGCAAAGAGTTTCATACAACATGAGAGCCTCCGGTGATGAGGTCACTTGAACCATGGACGAAACTTAATCATACCTTTCCCCCCAATGTGAAATGACTGACCAATCATAACCTGAAGGGTCTTTTTCTTTTTCAGAGTGCCCGACTGGGTTTTATGGGGTGAGGTGTGCCCACACATGTGACTGTACGGTGGGGCAAGCATGCAACCATGTGACTGGCAAGTGTGCGTGTCCATCCGGATACTATGGCCCACAATGCCAAAGACGTGAGTACACAATGTTAAAACAAACTGAAAGTAAATCGTGTAATGTAATCCAATCAATGGTACTTTGTACATTTAGCACTTTTTGACAAGAGACAAAGAAGAAAGAGGCAATAAATTAAGAATATAGTCATTTTTTTAAGCAGAATAGTTATCTTATCCTTCAACCACTTCTAATACCTCTTATACTATCTAATACATTTGTAATAATTGAAGAAAGCCTACTACACACCCAGCCACAATACTTCATGAGAAATTCAGTATGAATGGATCTGAAAAGCGAGGCACAATTGGTGAGCAAGCCGGCAGACTGGTTATGTGATGAGAGACAGGTGTTTCTCAGCTGCCTAATGCATTCTTGTTACATCCCTGGGCCCTCCTGCCTGCTCACGGGGCTCTCAGGCACAGCGTGAGTGCCTAAACGGCCTCTTCAGCACCAGCGGGAGACATGGCCGCGCATCAGGCAGCAGCTGCAGGCGCATGCCCAAAACACAGGCCTGACTCTGTGTCTGCCTGTGTCTGTGTTTGTACATTTTCTCATCTCGGTGCATTATTTTCTGTGGCCGAGATGTGCAGTAGAGCAAAAGCGCGAACACATAGATTTTGTTATTAGCATTTTATTACAGGAGACCTAAAGATCTATATTTAGTTTAAAACTGAACCCTTAGCTTTTGAGGTGCAAGAGGCTTTAGTATAAAGTGTTGAAAGTAGATGATATTAAATAGGATGTAGAGAGTATTCTTGAATTGACTATTACTAATAATTACTTTTTGGCCTGCAGGGTGTGACGCTGGCAGATTTGGAGATACTTGTTCAAGTTCATGTGACTGTGCTGGTGAGGGTCCATGTGACCAAACAACGGGTCAGTGCCTCTGCCTCCCAGGACGGACAGGACCGAGATGTGAAAAGAGTAAGTTAAAATCAGATTTTGAAACAACCCACATGGTTGGTTTTACAAAATCTCTTTTCCTTGAATTTAAAAAAAAAAACATTTTCCTTCCTCTCTGTTTTCCCTTCTGTGTCAGATTGTGATGGGGAGCATTTTGGCCCTAACTGCACCCTGCCCTGCCGGTGTTCCCACGGGGCTCGCTGTGATGGGGTGAGCGGGCGATGTCTATGTCCGCTCAACTGGCTGGGCTCAAGTTGTACTGAAGGTAAACCTGAAATTCCAGTACCATGCATTTACACACGCACATACACACGCGTAGAGTCATAAAACGAAAGCAGATCTGATTATGCGCACGCAGACGAACCACATAGGGTCAAGGGCAGTAAAGCTAAACCAGCTCCAGTGAAATCCTGCGTCGTGAAGCGTGTGAGGCTGAGCCCCATCACTCTGCGTGTCACCCTGTCTCCCGCAATAGCTGCTCCTTTCTCCTGACAGTTATTTTAATCTGCACCCAGCATGACGCCGGGCTCAAGGCTGTCTCCGTTTTACCTCCTCCGAGAAAAATGCACACAGGAGACGTAGCAGTTACCTCTCCTCCGGAATGCCCCAGAACATTTGCTTTTGATTTTCAAATAGTGGTTGTGTCTTCTTATCTTTTTTTTTTCTTTTTTCTTTCCAGCTTTGCTACATCAAACCTCAGGAGTGCCAGGCATCTCCGTGTCCCACAGAAAAAGAAGAGAAGGCGGCAAAACCACATAACCCAAGCAGAGGTGCAAATTCCTGACTGGACACTTAACATGGGACTCGTCTCAGAGGAGCTTTGTACTGATCATCTTTGGAATGTTGATGTTGGACTTGTGGAACTGGTACTCGGCTGTCAGAAACTGGCCCTCCGTCGCTCTGAAAGCAGAGACAAACATCAACAGAACTTGGCATGTCGGAAGCCTTCAAAGGACGATAAAATCAAACTTAGCCCAGTCTGTCCAAGATCTAAAGTCCAGGGTTGCACGGGCTTCGTAGCAACGCACACAAATACCTGCATCACATTACTGTTGCTGATTGAACGTAGATCACTTTCAGTTCAGGGCTCAGTTTCTTGAACGCCTTTTAAACGAGCCATGAGTGACTCATTATGACCCCTGCCAACATTTAGTTTTATTTGTTCAAGGAAAAAAAAAGTTCTAACCCAAACAGTGCCACAGACTTATTCTGATTAAATAATTCTGACCAATATTGGATCAAAGAAAATGTGATAGGGTTGATAATAAACAATGAAACGAGTCTTCGGTCCTGTGTAGGTAGACTCCCATCACTCACATAGTTTTCAGTCCTTGGGTGTGTTTCAATTTTTATTTTGAGCTGATGGAATTTCATTTTTTCCTTTTTATAATTCATCCACTCCTAGGGCAAGTTTAGAATCCCCTTATAAAGTCTTGGTTGGGCAGTGCGAGAGTACCCGTGCATGTTGACCTCACATAGAAAGGTGTTTTGGTATTTAAGCCATAGACCATTTGGCTGTGAAACAACAATGTTAATGATCCCGGATGTTAAAAAAACACACAAGAAAATGTCTGATAAAGCGTAAACAAGCCTTACCGGCCTGCAATACCGATTCTCATTGTGTCGTAACATTGACAGTTAGTATGTTTTAGCTGGTGGTAGATGTTGATGAGATATTGCTGACTTTTTTGTACAGTGTCTGCACAAATTCACAAGTGTCCAGTGTTGCACATCCACTGTGGTGTGCAACATCAGAGGCCCTTTTTGAGGCTCACAGCCAGTCCTGTATCACTGTACAGAGCCTCACAGTAAATGTTCTTTCAATTTCTGTTATTTTTTCTTTTTTTGATTAAAAAAAATGTTTGTTTACATCTCAGGTCTGTGCAGTCACATTTGCTTCCAAATGCATCTCTTGTCAAGATATTTTTTACAGTGAACAATGAAAGTATTTTCCCAAAGCAATAAAGTTAAAGGCAACATGTTGAAAATATTAAATGATTGAAAATATTTGAATTACCATCTTTTTTTTCATTCCTTTTTTGGTAGTTTTATTGCAAATAGTGGCCTTTATTGAAAGTAGCAAAACAGGAAAGGGAGCAAAGGGTGACACAGGATCATGTGCCAGAATAGGACCCAGGATATTTGCACTGGAGCAGAGGGCCTCCATACATGGCCTGTCTGCTTAAGCCACTCAGACGATGGTGGCAACTCTTTCACATAAAAAAAAAAAACAGGCAGACAGTTTGCAAATGCTTTGTTTTAACCTGCGAAAAGTCATCAGTTTTTGTTTTGCCCTCTCCTCCTACAAACGTTTCTAATTCCCCTATATTCTAGGTCTGTCATGCATGTACGACTGCTTTTATGGAGGCTTTTGAAGTCTGTCCATAAATGTTCAGAATTTGGGACCTTGAGGGGCATGTAAAAGCCTTCAGCGGTGCTTCAGTTGTCCACCGTGGATTTGATGTTATTTTATGAGGATTATCCTGCTGTTGAACATCAGCTTTTCTTCTGCTTTTTACTTTTTTCCTTTTTTGAAGAAAGTGATCTTTGCCTCTGGAATTTTATGTTATTTAATTGAAGCCATTCTTTTCCCCAAAATACTTGTAAAATGTTGCTTATGCAGGAGTTGTTTTCCAATTGTATCTGCCTTGTTTACATGTGAGTTTTTTACACTTCTGAAGCAGAATTTGGTTGTTACGCTGCTTGCTGTTTATGCTGCACCAAAGAACAGAACACGACCACAACCACCACACAAAATAAAAACCTCAGGATTTTTACATTTCAGTATTTCATCAAAGGTATGAAGAAGTAAATCAAAAACACTTTTGCAAAGTACATCATAATAAAAAAAACAAAGGTACAGGACAATGTATGTTTTCTGTTTGTTTAAATATTTCAGATCTGGTTACTTCCATTTTCTAATAGAGGAAATAAAACTTAAACATTTTTAGAATAAAAAGATATGTTAAGACGACTCAATTTCAAATACATTAGCAAACCATGTCACCAGTGGTGGCCAAACATTTGTAAACCACATCGGTTGTTAGTTTAGTATTTTTTTTTACTGTGTGTTGTCTTTTTTGTTGCACAACAGTGGTACTACTCTGTATGATGGACCATTTGTTTGTAAATTCATTTTTTATCCGTTTTTATTTCAGCTTTTTCTTGACAGAAAATAAGACAATAGGGTACACTGCAAATAAATGACAAGAACCATGTCTGTGGAGATTTGCCTGTGACTAGCTGCTTTTAATTGTGTTTTTTGTGTGCAGCATTGCTTATCTCTGATTTGTAAGATAATGGATGTTTAAAAGGTCCAGCAGGATACCAGCTTCCATGGACATCCAGTGTGTGTGTGTGCAAAGCTCTGAGAAGACATATTTTATCACCCTGGGTCACTTCAAGCATTAAAGTCATGCGTTCACCTCTAAAAGTCTAAAATTGGAGGGGGTTGCACCTGAAACATGGTATTGTGGCTTGTGTACGTGTTTGTTGAGCACGAGAGAGCCAGTGCTCTTTTCTCAGGGCATTTTTCAAGATTACTGGAGCATTTTTCCCTCAATTGGTCAAAGGTGGCTGTGGTCCGGCAGAGCCAGGCAGGTGCCTGGACTGAGCGTGCACCCTTTATCCAGCATCCCTGAGGTGAATGATGGTTGAACAGGCGCACCAGCAGGGTATGAAGCCCCCACCAACACACATACACACCTCCACATCCGCTTTCCGGTGAGGCTGATGGATTGGGGAAGGCTGCAGCCCGCCCTGTGTTGTGACAAGCAGCAGATGTTCTCCAATAATGTTTATCGGCTGAGCCTTCATCTTCAGATGACACACACCTGTTTCCAGTCAAACAGGCCCAGAGAGGCCATCCATCCACTGAGCTCTGGGTGGCCAGTGCACCGCTGTATCAGCCCTCTGTACAGAATGTAAATGTAGGGCTGAAGCTTCAAAATATATATTAACGCTTATATATGAATGCATGCCAAACTTACACACATGTATTTCTTATACAGCACAATGTGTGTGGCTGAATTCGTTTTTTAATTTTTTTATTTCGATCCAACTTAACAGGGTTTTTTTGCTTAATGATCATAGAACTTTATGAGCAACTTTTGTCGCCAAAAAATGAATAAAAGTGGCCCCTGTGCTGAAACACTAGCAGAGAAAAAAACGCTAGTTTCATGCAAACTCCCTTATCGGGAAAAAGAGAGGGATGCAGGAAACTGGCAATAGTCCGTAAAAGCAGAGATTGCATCGTGGGTACTTTTTCGCTGCAATTATGCATACACAACCCTTTGCAACAGAGATTCTATCATTTCACTGACTAGGCTTCACGTTGCAGAGATAATTTCTGCCCCTCTGCGTTGAACCAGATCTCCCAGAAGACTGGGGTGTTTTGAACTCCAGCTGACAAAGCTGTCCACTTAGATAAAGTATTGAGAGGAGGGGGAATCATTTCAACACGTCTTGCACCATTAGTGTGGTTGTTGACTGAAAAAATAAATGTTAAGTGTGAGGGCTGCAACAAGATGCGTATCAAAAAACTCTCCCACACTAAATCTGTGTGCTGTTGAGTGTTTCTTTGGCTGAACTTATGAAAGAATGTACATTTGTTTTGGCAGAATTTGTTGCCCACTTCTTTTTTTACATGATGACTGACAAAAGTCCACGGTTTCTATTCATTTTAACTCAGAGGATCTAAACCCAAACACAGGTAGGTGCATTTCAGATATTGACCACTAGGTGGAGCCATGTGCAGAAGATTGCCTGTGAGCACATGAATCAGTTGGTTATGTGGCCTGAATATCAGGGATAAAATAGTTGCTGCATGTATTTTAATTAAAAGTTCCTGTTGGAGTATTAAAACCCCAATCTGTGAACCGCATGCTTCAAACACACTGCTGATGGCCCGATGACTTATTTTCTGATCCAATCAATGAGCAAAGAAATGGTTCTACCGCCACGCCGGTCCTGATTAGACATGTCATATTAAAACCACGTGCGGGCCCTGCTTTTCTCCGTTTTGGTCTGTTCTGTGGAACCGTACCCACTGTCCATCAATAACATTAATGACCCATAACATCCAGGAAGAAAAAACAAACTGTGTAATGAAACCACAACCTTAAATCCTAATGCTCTCAAAGAGGGGACAGACATGGGGGGGGGCAGAAAAGACAGCAAGATAAGCAGAGAAGGAGAAAAATGAGCGAGACTTTCATCTGACTGGCCTGCAGTTGTTTGTCCTCCACATGCTCATACTGCACAGAGGAACAAGCCAGGAGGTGCTGCTATTATTGTAAACACAACAAAAACTTGATGTGGTGATTTGTGGAGTTTCCCCACCCAGTCTCGCATATAAACCTCCCACTTGTGCCAGCTGTTAGTAAGTACTTCTCTACCAACCTCTGCCCTCCGTCCCTCCTTAAGTGTTCCACTCTCTCACCCATCCGTGCCTCCTCCTCCTCCTCCCAAACGTTTCCCCTGGTATCTGAGTCAGCACGGTTGCCAAGTCAATCAACATGAGAGCTGCCAGCTGCGATGGCCTTCCCCTCCAGTGGTGTGATGTATGTTCCAGCAAGCAGAGCGGGGCAGCTACATGCCACACAGGGGCTGGCCCTGAGGATGGGTGGCAGAGGAAAGGAAGGAAGGGTTGGGGTGAGGAGAGAAAGAAAGAAAGAAAGAAAGAGGGGGAGGAAAAAAGAGGAAGGCAGCTGAACGGGAGCTGTAATGAGGCCTGATGGATTCTGACGCTATGCCAGCTGCCCCATTAGCTGAGTGGCTCCAAACCCCACTAAATGCTGCCCACAGAGTGCCCACCCGACCACATACATACATACACACACACACACACACTGTAGGGACACAGCAGCTTGGAGATCCTACCCCTCTGAAATATACAGAAACACACACTTTTCCCTTTTGAGTCAAGCACAAGGGATCAGCCAGTGCACACTCCTCTGTCTGACTTCCTTACCCTTTTAAACACACACTTAAATACACACTCATCCAGGTCCCTGCCAGCCACACTTTGCAACACACTGAACCCTTTATGGAAAGCCGAGGGTTAATGATGGCATAACTCATTCCAAAGTGTTGATTAAGTGTGAGAGGATACACGGGTGACATTGGCATGTTCCAATCAACACTGACCAAACATGGCAAACAGGCATGAGAATGATTTCAAGGCTACCAGAATCACCCTTACACCACTTCACTGCCTCCACAGCCACATTCTTCGTTCCTGAGTCTATTCGTGGCATTTTGGTGTTGTTTCAAGCGGCGGCCCCTTTGGACTATTGTCTAGAGAGAGCTTTTTAAGCAGGTGAGGTGATTACATGGATAATTTGACTTGCAGTGGGGGCAAGACAACTGTGAGGCTGTTGGCAAAATGAGTCTTCCAAGTTAGTTCCCAGATGCAGTTATGTTATAATTCCACTTCAGACTTTGACAAACTGATGGGTTTATTGCACCTGCAGAGAGATGTGCTGTCTCCGTTTGGATTATCATTTGTTTTATGACATGTATTTTCTTTACTTGTTGAAGACCTTATAGGAAAAGTAGATCATCTAAACCAAACACAGCCCTTCCCATGTTTTTTCTTCTTTAAAATGTCATACTCTGGAAGCATAAACAATTTCTGAACAGTGAGAGAGGGATGTAAACAATCTGTTTTCATCAGTAGTGCATTGATGACAAAGGATCAAGTGACCACGTGCAACAGAAAGTGTGTGGTAGCTCCAAAACCACAGAGAATTTATACCCAACTGTTCCTCTTAGCTTTGTAGAGTTTTATGGTGTCTTTCAGGTCATTGTTTTAGTTCTGCTGCCTACAGCTTTACTCTTTTGCTTCAGTCTCATCTCGTGGGGTTGATTTTGGCAGCAGTGGGCAGCAGATGTGTGTTAGAGAGGTCTGAATAACTCTACTCTACCTGGTCACCACCAAAAAAAAAGAAAGAAAGAAAGAAAGAAAAAAAAGATGTGTACTTCGAGATCAAAAACAAAGTTAATGACCTCATTAACCTTTTAATGGGCTCACTTAGAGTAAAGCCTTTGCATTAATCTTCATTTCCTTTTAGATGCACTTTTTAAAGAAGTGGTTGTAGTCAAATCAAAATAAAAGAAGTAATCAAAATCATAAAAACTCATGACATTACAAATGTATTTTAAGGTGACCCTAATACCTTATTTAAACATGTTCCTTTATTTTTCTATATCTAAATTTTACATTTTTCTTTTTAAAATATATATGCCAATACTGGGCTCACAATGTCATTTTAAAGGGTCAGGATATCCTAATATTGTGCACACAGAGATAAAAGAGATGCATTTGTGTGGTTGCAGACAAAGTGTCATATCAAAATGAACATGAATCGGCCCACAGTTGCTCAGGTGACAAAACTCATGATTAGCAACAAAAGCCTCACCACTTCATTATGACCACAGCTTGCGCCACTGCTACCATCAGTTCAGCTGACCTCATCGAAGCTGGACGACCCGTGCGACCTCATCAACAGCGCGCGACCCTCTGTGACCCTCGTCAAAGCTGGACGGTCCGTGGACCCCTGAAGGGCTGACAACGGGCCGTAAGAAAACAACCCATCCATTAGGGTGCCAGGAGCACTGTAAACGTATCGGTGTCAGCGCCAGCCATCTTCACTGTCATGCCCAAATTCTTCCCACCCCCCGCTGGAGCTGCTCGCTGGACAATGGGACTGCTGAAGTTCCAACCCTCCCAGCCACAATGTCCGCCCACGTTGGCTGGCAGCAGTGACAGAGGGGGGTGCCGGATGGGGAGGCCTGCTGCAGGATGGGACTCTTATTGAGTGTTTGAGCGATGAGCCAGGTCATCACATCTACCCACCTCATCCATCATGCCCCACAAACGGACACAAATAAAAAGGACACATTCCTGCCTCTGCTCCCACTACCACATTCAAGCCCCTCTCCAGCCTTTTCTCTGCTTCCCTCTCTCTATGTGAGCCAAGGCCTCGGGGAGAGAAAAGAGGACCAGAGTTCAGGCTGTCCCTCGCTTTTGGAGGCCATGGGAGCGCCAGAAGACTGCGCCAGGTGGTGTTCTGACTCACGTCTCCCGGTATAAATTTATGCCCATAAGACGGGCAGCCAGAAGGACCATACTGAGTGGGGAGGAGTGAGGGTGGAAGACAAGTAGCAAGTAAATAAACCAAGGAGAAAATAAAGAGAGAACATGTCCATCCACGTTGTAGTCCTTTATTTTCTTAGTTGTTCCTCCCACAGTATTGAATTGAAATGCATAACAGTTACATTGTAGAAAGCATTAAAACAAAGTACCTCAACTTGCTGATTACTTTTTAAAATTGATTATAAACAAAACAACGACAAAAACAAACAGGAAATCTGGTCCCTCAAAACGGGAGAATAAATGAAAGTAATCTGTTATTTATCATAAGTTTGGCACAAGGGATTAACATGAACCGAACATCACACAAGCTTGCAGACAACTGTAGAAAATGTCAGATACGGATCTTAACAGACCAATCATGCGCTTATGATGAAATTTTACCTGGCTTTTTTTTAATTATTCATTCTTTGTTACGTTTTTTTTTTTTTCATTTTGTACAATTGAATCATTAAATTGTCATAGAAAAAAACCCTAAAGAATATCTATTCATCGACCGGTCTCATTAGTAGAATAATTGTACGTTTAATACTATCCGGCACTCAAATGTAATCTACAAACCCCGTTGAACTCTGGGATAGGCCCGGTTAAGAATCTCACCTTCACCTGGGCTAAGAGCAGTGCTATTCAGTAAACAAACTACAGTTTGCCAAGGAAATAAATACAATTCTCAAAATACAACAGCAAATAACAACAACAACACCAAAAAGAAAAAAAAAACAATTAAACAAAAAAAAAAGAAAAGAATGATTGTCTAAAAATGAAAGACACACGAGGATGGAGTAGCTAACGACTAGCATTCAGGCTATTTAGTGGTATTGTTGGTTGACTATGATGAATTCAAAGGTTTTTGAAAAAAGACATTTGCCCTTTACAGAACGACAATTAACTTTAGCACTGGCTACTTATCTCAGTAAATTATATAAAAAAAAAAAACACTGTGTTTTCTTCTCTTCCACTAAAAAGACAATCTATTTATATCCTTTCACAGATAGCGAAGGCGGGGAGGACAGAGTGCAGCGGAGAACAGTTCTTTGACACTTGTGTACAGTGCTATGATTGTGCAGACACACGCAGCTTTGAAAACACACATGGGAAACTGGCCTGATTTCACTTTAACAATTTTCATTTGTTCTTAAATGACTTCAAAGACATTAAAGCGCTGCTAGTGCTGTCCTTACTTGTAGCAGGTTACCCACACCACCTTTCAGTTTTATCGTCAAGTACACATATTTATGAGGAACATCTGTGTGTCTCCGGGGGTAAAAAGGGAATTCTTGCTCTGGCTTTTTATGCTTTACACACGGTGAAACACGCTTGCCGAAACCAGCTGTCTTACAGACACAACCAACTGAACCTAAAAAGTCTCCTTGCCCTGCCTGTGCTGGGCAGTGAGTTCACTAACAATGACACATTAGCACATCCATCTTACTTATCTATCAGCTGCCTTTGCGGTGCAAAACAGAGAAAAATCAAAAGAATAAATACAGCTCTTATTAGGTTAGCATTATTCATTTCACCTCATCTCGGCTGATGTGAGAAATCAATTTCAATTTTCGTTTTTTTCCAGAGGTTTCGATATCAGAACAGGGGTTGGGCTGGCCTCTGTGTGGACGCTGACCCCGCTTTGTGTGAAAGGCAGTCGGATGGGCTGTGGTTCTGCTCAGCAGTCACTCTGTGGACGATCATGGGACCCTGCTGGGAGCCTCCCTGATGGATCCCCAGTGTCATAGGTCAGTCAGGGCTCGAGAGGTGAGGGAGTGGACGCAGTGGGGTGTCATCATACATGGCTGAGTGACTGGATGGCACTGGATTCAGCAGCGGCCCGAGCCAGACTGTGCCACATGGCGGCTGGGTTATGGGTGGCTGAGTGGAGAGAGTCCTTTTCAGCCAGAGACAGCATCATGGCATAGGCCTGAAGGAGCAGGGAAACATATTACACTTAACTCACAGGGATGAAAAGTAAAGATAAGTGTTACAGATGTGAGGGAACTGTCACCACATCTTTTACCTGAGACTTGGATTTTCTAAAGAGTGGTTGTTTGACTGCCTCAGTCAGAGAGGGGGAGCCAAATGACCCATTGTCCTCCTCTCCATCTCCATCACTCAGCTCGCTCTCCTCTAGCTTGCGCATGTCAGAAAAATGATGGATCTGATCCAAGGCCGAGTAGCTGCTCTGTTCCTCCTCATCTTTATAGCTGAAATATTACAAACAAAACATTCAATGAAAAAAAAAAACACTTTCAACATGTTTGGACCATGTAACTTAATGTCTGAATGGCCCTTAGGTGACATTTACCTCATTGGAGAAGTTTTGCTAATTGTTTTCAAGTCGTTTTGTTCACTTAAGTCCATTTCGCCTTGAATATTATCGTCGCCTGGGCTACCAGGAAGATCCTTGGCTTCTCTTTTCTCTGGGCTGCCGCTCAGCTCTTCTGCTTCTTCCTCATCAGCAACTAGGTCTTCCACTTCCTCATCCTCCAGGTCATGGCTGGCCAGCAGTGGCTTCCCTTCTTCAAATGGACCTCCATTTAACCTGCAAATTAGGGAACACTCTTTAGATTAATGCAACCAGCCCATACAGCTGACAATCACAGGACCATGAATGGAAATTCCATCCAGCGAATTACTTGCAGCCACACAATTTCTAAATACACCTACCTATACAGTAAGCAAATTTTACTTTCATGCATAAAGCCGTACAAGCTTTACACAAAAGCTGCACAAGATAAACAAAACAAGAAGATGTGGATATGAAGCAGAACGTGGCAGCTGCAATTGAGCTGAGCCGGAATCCCGTTTGTCATCAAGGCTTTGGGGCCCCGTGGGCACAGCATAACTGGGCTGATCATTGGAGCACTTAAATGGAGTGCTGTGCCTCTCTCTTTGTTTATTTTCTCTACTATCTCGTATTCATCTAATAGGCAAAATATTTAGCTGACAGCCCCATTTGGTGGGAGAGTTATGAGAGCTCTGCCAACTAACCCATTCCTCTATCCCTGTGGACGGAGAGAGGGCCAGCTATCCAAACTGCCTGAGTCTTAATCTGTCCTTCTGTCTCAGCGCCACAGGAAACCACCATTTGGTAAATCATCTGGAACCACATTAAGACTGATTCACTAATTACACTCTGGGACATCTTTCGTCAGCTCACAAAAATGCCATTTCTCGCACAAAGACTCGGAGATGAGGGCTGAAAATTGAACAGGGAGAGGAAAAACAAAACATGTGGAGGACAACATCGCGTAAGATTATTAGAATAAATAGCACACCCGGACTAAATTTCTTACACATCTGAGCATGGAGAGACCCCCCACAAAAGAGTCTAAATTCTAGCGTATAAAAGAATTAGCTGGTTTATCGACAGCTGATCATGTTGCTCTTTCAACAAGACTCACACTGGAATGGGGTCCTGAGAAGGATGTATTCGTGCCATGTCAAGCTCTCACAGCTACAAGAAGGAACTAGCTCCAAAAGAAAGAGCAAGAACTCTGTGATTATGAAAACAGATTCGCTAATTATGCTTTCAAACGTGGTAATTTGCTGAGGATAAAGTATCTATCAGAGGTAGTCAGGAGCGCTGCACTTTGAAAGGAAACACAGACCGACCCTTTGACCCCACCCCCTCTCCCCTCTTCCTGTAGGCAGACATGTTGGTTCCAGATGTGGTGGCCCAACGGCTGCACCCTCCCTCCCGCCTCCCGCTCCTCTCTTGTCGCTCTGACGCTCCACCGCCTGGTCCTGCTCTCACAGGCCTTTTCTTTAAATCTGTGAGATCTGCATTTGGCCTTACAATCTGCTCTATGATCACACCAACATGAGGCATGTGAAAACAAACTTAGAGACCTGAGTAGCTCTCCCTCCCGCTATCTGATCTGATCGCAGCTACAAGAATTTATTTGCATAATGCTCAGACGACGTTGCATGAGCACATTTATCCAGATTTCCCCTATGTGGCCAAAAGGCAACTGATATAAAAGGCTCCTTAACGTTTCCAAAAGCTGCCATTATGGTCATCAGAGATGATTGCTCTCTATTTCAGAGCCCTGATCATGAGGTGATTGTTAGAAAAGGGCCAGCTGGGTGGTATGAAACACAAGTCTGCAATGGGCTGATAACAGTTAGCTGACCATTAGGCGAATTAAGCCCCAGAGTAAAGAAACTCAAGCAACAATATGTTTCTTTAGTTTCTGAGCAGGGCCCGGCCCCCATCGATGAGAAGCAATGTACATATGAATACACGGATCTGATCAGAAAATATAAGCTAGTCACAAATGAGGCTGCGCTTACCCTTCCTCAGAGGGGTCCGGGGATCTCTGGTCCTGGCCACTGTTGCTGATGAAGTTTCGTATTTCGTTGAAGTAAGAGTCCTCTTTGTCGTCCAATATGGCGCTGCTACTGTCCAGTTCGGACTGTGGGGAGGACATAGCAGTTCCTGCAACAAAAATATAGCATCATTTTTATTTAATTGCATTTTAAAATTTTACTAGCATTTTTATTTCCATATTGTTAGAGTTTTTTGGATATCCATAGTATTCGAATTACATACTTTGTGCATCTCTTTACAGTAAATTCATACATTTAACACTTAATGAAGGTGTGAGGTCTGTTAGCTGGCATGGTGCAAAAAATACAATAAAATACTCAAATAGTGTATGATGGCTCACCTTTAGAAACACATCTAGTACGTTTGGAGAGTTAAACCACAAAGTAACACAATGCTATGGCAGACTTTAAAAACCATCTGAGCTTGTGACTCTTACCAAAGCATAGAAAAAAAATCTGATTTTTTTTTATTACGGATAAGTAATATTTGTCCCAATTTTTTTTCACTCTATTCGTGGGTTGGGAAATAAATAGTTTGACGCTGAAAAGTGAAAGCTTTGCTAATAATTGATTTTACATTTGATAGATTGCACATTGTGCCTGATTAAATGGCAGCCTCCTCTGAGACCTGCTGCTGTCGGCTTCAGGCCAGGTGTCACCACTTGTTCTGCTGATTCATTCGGAGTGATGCAACCTATCAACCCCTTGAGTTGTGCTGCTGATGAAAGCAGATCATTCATACCCAAAAAAAACAAAACAAAAGTGCCGCTGCAGGGGTCAGTGGCAGATTTATATTAATTTCTTAGCCTTGAAAATTGTCTCCAATCATGAGTAAGTTATGCTTTTTACAACACTGCAGAAAGGATTTATGGGTCTCAACAGTCAGCAAAGCAGTTCTCATTTTCTCTAATGAAATATGGAAAAGGGGAAAAGTGCTTCCATCGATGAAGAAAAAATGAGCCAGTGGATGATACACGATTTTCTCCTCACCTGACAAGTTGCCATTCTCGTGCTTTTTGAGGTGACGGTCCAGGTTGGTCTGTTGACCGAAGCAGCGGTCGCACAGGTGGCACTTGAAGGGCTTTTCCTTGTTGTGAATGTTGCGAATGTGACGCTGCAGGTTGGAGGAGATGCTGAAGGAGCGGTCGCAGTATTTACACCTGCAGAAGAAGCAGAAATTTCAAACTGTTACGTTTCTAAATTGTATAAACTGCTAATAACAAACACAAGTGTACTGTATAATGAATCAGAACCTGAGCCTTGTTCTGTGGGAAACGTAATGTAACACACTTGCAGGACACACACTTACACAATCATATGGACAGTCTCAGCAGTCCCACAGTCCTGACATGATGGAGGAGCTTGTTTAAGGTGAAACAGCTCTGCCTCTTATCTCCAGCCAGTGCAATAAAAGTGCATTCTTCTCTCACAAAATAAGCACGCAACAGATTTGGTTCAGGCCCTGCAAAATTAGGGGCTCTTGCCAAGTTTCTTCATGCAAAATTATACAAGAAGATTACATCTTTTCTTCTGGAGGAATTAGCGAGCTCGATTGGCTGTCCCTCAGGAACCCCCCGGTTATCTCCGCAAAAAAATTACAATAAACAGCAGTGATCTTTAATGGCATGCCAGCGTGTAGAGTGCAGACTATCAGACTGGGGAAGTCGAAGCCTGCATCTGTCTTCTGCTCTCCCCTGTGGTCAACAGACCTCCTCCGAACTTTAGGCCAACATTCCTCTACCTTAGTAACTACAAAGCAGAGGAGTGTATTCATTATCTAAATGTAGCAAACGTGCTAAATTCACTTCTGTGTGCTCACTGAACTGGTGCTGTATCGTTACTCTGACCTCTGCCTAATAAAAGAAATCTGGAAATCAGCTATGCTCATGCGTGGTAGAAGCTGGACGTTTCCCAAAAACAAAGTAAAATCACAAAGATTAGCGTTATTACCAAGGGTCCTGGGGAAAAAGAAATCTTAAGATAACCTTTTTTTGACAGCAAGAGAGCCTCGCTTATTGCCAGAGGCTTGCAGATTACTTTGAGGCCGGCCTCATAAGTGTAAGAGAAATGACCACAGCTGCCACGTCTGGACATCTGCCCATTCTCCTCATCACCCCAATTTTCACTATACTTCCTCCCTTCCTCACTGCTCAGCCTCCCAAAACCCCTCCTATCACCAAGCCAACGACACCATTTTTCATCAAGCAAATTATCTAGCAGTGGGATCATTATTCCAGGCTTATGGCATAGGACAACACATATAAATTCTGTTCTAACTGTAGACCAGAAATCTCTGGGAAAACTTCCACATGCTGTTAACAAATGAGCTGCGTCTGTCTTTACTCCCTGCATGAAAGTTTATTTGTTTCTTTTGCTTGGTTTTCTGTGGAGAGACAAGCAATTCCTCCCGAGCAGGCTGATGTGCTGTTGTGAAAATCTAATTCTTGACTTTACAAAAGTGTACTGATATGATTTTGTGAAGTGTTGAAAGAGTGAGGAGGAACGGATGGAGAAGAAAGAGGGTGAAACATAGCCAACATCTTATGTTTGGAATGTTTATCCTTTATTACAACTCAGCAAAACAAACCGAAAACCTCCATAACGTCCAGCATAAGAATACAGACACAAATACAGATGGAAACACACGCAATTGAGAGAAGAACTTAAAGAGGTAGAGTTACCTGTATGGTTGCTCTCCTGTGTGAGTCCTGAGGTGGCGAGTCAGGTTGGCGGAACGAGGGAATATTTTTCCACAGTATCTATGAAAATGTATTAAAAAAAGCATGTGCATTTCACGTAAAAAAAAAAAGAAACAAAACAAAACAGCAAGAGCATTTTTTCCAACATGTTCTCACAAAAAAAAAGACAAAGGCATATAAGAAGTAAAATGACTCAATCTTAAAACTATTTGCCAAACAGGAATGCTCATTTATGATCCATATTAAAGTTACACACCATGCAATACATGCCAAAGCGATTGCCATAGTTACCTGCATGTGTAGCGCTCCTTGCCTTTTCGCAGCAGCGTCTCTGGAAGTGCAGATGGTGGGGCTCTGAAGTCAAACATGGAAGGAACAGAGCGCAAAAGTTCACTGGACTCAGGCTTCAAGGAGCCGAATGTCTCCAGCTTCTCTGCCATGTTCTCGATAGCCGTCATCTGTAGAGACAGAGGACAGCAAGGAGGGTTGAGAAGATAGATTTTTCACTCTTGAAAACAACAATACTTTTTTGGGTGCAAATGCAATAGGCAAAAGCAAATAGCCTTTTTAAAAAGAAAATATTATAATAATATGACATTCCTGTATAAACAGAAGTCATACAGGCCTACTGGTTAAGCTGGCTCTATTCATAATTTCTACAGAGGGAGGTTTACATCTCCTCTGATCACTATAGATAGCATCAAACTTTAAAAGTATTTTAAAACTATTGACTAAGACTTCTTTGTGCATCATAAGGTAAACTCTCTGATCGTTTTATGAGTACACGTGACACGGATTTAAAACTTTGTCATAACACACACGCGTAGTCAAAGTTGACTTTCTATTCATAGTTAAATCAGCCAAGTCTTGTTCTCTGACAATTAATCGTACAATGTGAATGCAACAAACACATATGTATACACACACACACATACTCGGACACATGCATACACACACACACACACGCACCCTAACTGCAGCCAATCTACTAATGAAACCGAACATTTACTTTCATCAGATACTCTCCAAGGAGATATGTGTGATTGTGTGTGTATGCACATGAACAAGAAACTATGAGCAGCCCGGTGGTCATAGTTGATTAACTGCCGTCAGTGTGTGTAAAAGGGAAAATATATGTGTGTGTGTGAGAGAGAAGAATGTATTTGCAATGCATTTTTATGTGTGGGAGAGCATGTGCGTCCACAAGGTGTGTGCTCTCAAGCACGTGCGCTTTGTATGTGTGCGATCGTACGAGCTCTGCGTGCATCTGTGTGTTGTCGGATGAGTGTGTGCGTGTGTGTGGCAGCGGAGTGATTCATGTCCACTGCTGGGCTGTAAACCATTCTGTGCACAATGCGGGCAGACAGCACATTCGTCAATATGAAAGATGTTGACATTACTGATCAAGGGCCAGACACGGGTAATAATGATATCGTTGTGCTGAGAGGGGCGGGATGGGGGAGGAGAGGGGCTGGAAGGGGAGTGAAGGGAGGAGGAGAGGGAAGGAGGGGCGGGGGTCTCAGTAGGCCGCAGGGCCTGTCAGCCCATCGCACACACACACACACACACACACACAGCCACATATAGCCACAGACACACACAAGTTCTTTCCCTCTCCTCTAAAAGCACCACACAAATTTGCATTATTTTGCGTGTATTGAATTTTCAGCCTGCTTTTTTTTTTTTCTCATTTCAATAAGGCAACAAATCAATTGTGATTCGGCTCCTCCACCGGAGCCCTGCTCCGACTCTGACATTTCATCTCCAGCTTTCACCCCCTGTCACTCTCAGGCTTCACGCCAAGATAGAGGAAAACCAGGAGAAAAGAAGCAGATGAGGAGAATTGGAGAGTACAATAAAGAGTATGCTGAAGGACTAGATGGGGGCTAAGAATAAGAGAGGAGGGAGAGGAACAAAAAAAGAAAGAACGAAAGAAAGAAAGATACAGAGGAAAGAGAAAGCAAACAAGACAGAAAGAGAGAGTGGGACTGAAGGCTGATGGATGGCGGTGGAGTCCGGTGTTGGGTGCTGCTGATTAGGAGTGACGGCCAAGTGTAAAGTTCCTGCCGCAGCCATCGACGTCCCCACTGAGGGAGGATGTGGAGTGTCAGGTCTGCTTGATTATGAATATGCCATCGTTACATGTCGTGAATCAAAGCGTGACACAGAGACAGCAAGAAAAGGGCTAGGGAGCCAGAAAAAGAAGGAGGGGAGTAAACTGAAAGATAGACAACGGGGCGGTGATTAAGAGGGAGGAGAAATGCATTCATACTTCTTTTGTGGTGTGCATTTCATTGCATTCTTAAGACACTGGAGCAAATGCTCAGTTTGTCTGCCGTACTCATTGACAATCTATAACTCTTAGGAACATTAGGGCCCCTAAAGCTGTCAGCAGTATTGAGTCTATTTGATAACTGAGCATGACTCCATCCTGGCTCCATCTACTGGACAATTCTGATCCAAACTCAGTCTACTCATGCTGCTTTAAGTTTATATAGTTCAGTAAAAGGCATACACTTTGCTTCAAAATTACCTGTTGAGAAAAAAAACGTCTTGGCAATTTAAGTCCCTGTTGCTGGGACTTTGCCAATATAAAATTAACTCTGTTCTTCCTGGAGCATATTTATTTTGACCATGATATAAAACCATCATTTTCACATGTGCTTAAGCAAATGTTAAAATAAAGAGTAGCTGAATTAGCATGTTGTTTTTGGTTTGCCAAAATATTCAAAGTGCAACTGATGGCGAGCAGCTGCCTAACGTGCCATGTTGGGAATCACAAAGTTAATCATTTGCAAATTATCTGGATTACACCAGTAAACATAAGTCTGATAAAGATTACACTTAGCCCTTTGACTGTTTTATGGATGTCGAGTCGGGTTAATTTGGCCAAGGTTTTTTACTTTTTTGAAAAGACAAGAAAATGAAGGCCCAAACATTCTGACCCAAAACTAGATTAGGCCTTTTTAAATTGTTTCACAAACCACAGTATCCTCTGTGTAGGACACTCACCACCCCTGGTTCACACCCAAACAAACAAACAAACACACATACACAAAAACATTCTACAATGTATGCAGATCTCCTGAAACCCCCTATCCTACCCCTGTGGGCAGTGTGTATGCATCTGTAAACTTGCTTGTTGCTGTAGCGTCGCTCTGGGACCAGAAGTTGATTGGCTATCTTCAGATGTCAGTGATGCTGTTAGGGCCTTAATTAGTGAGATGCATTCTCAATTGTTGATCTTTATCTGGAACCAGATGTTTGGAGGGAGGGCCTAACCTCCCGCTTCCCCCGCCAGAGTCCCAAAGAGACTGTTACCCTTTTGCTGATGTAAAGCAGCCCCTTTAAACATCACCCACCACCCCACCTTCTACACTCTTCCCCCCCAGTGTCCACTTGAAAAGGCTCTCCTTCATTTCAAAATAAGCAAACGTATTCAGAGCAATTGCTTTGAGAGGGTGTAGCTCAGCTGGAAATTCCCAATACAGCGCTTTTATGTTCGTCGGAGCATATGTAAACTGATGAATTCCAGCCATCCTATGTAATACAACATAATGTACAGCACAAAATGTTTATAAAAATCAAGTTTCCTAATATTGACGTGTAAAGAAAGGGATCTGACACCAGCTGTCGGAGCATGATGGCGACAGGCTAAAGCCATGCGAACACTGAGCAAATTAAGCTGGAAACTGTTACGCAGCCCATGCATTAATTATGGGACGCCGTCTTTTGGTAAAGGTACAGAACTGTAGAACTGTTGAAGAGGAACTTACCCAAGTTCTCTGATCTGGCAAACGAAACTGAGGGGCGGAAGAGAGGGAAAAAGAGGCAGTCAGAACCAAGAAAGTGGTGCATGAATCAACACATGTGGGTACAGAGGGGAACGATGGCTCTAAATGAGCAATGGGCTGCCTATCTGTCGAATTATGTCACTGGAATCATAGAAGATTCTAATAGTTTCCAACATTTCCCGGTGCTCAATAAACTCATTATATAGGAGGCTACAAACAGAATTCCTGAATGAAATCTAAACCAGTACTGCCGAGCAGTAAAATTTCCTGCCAGGAAATAAAGCTGAATCACCAAAGGTTTTGAAATGAAGTTCCAGTCGCCTCAGCTTTGAAAACCTTTTTTTTCTTTCTTTTTAGCTATTTCTCAAGAGTGAGTCAGGTGACTGAAAACAAACCCTCTCAAAAGTATACAGAAGGGCCTCTTGCCTGGTCTGGCTTGGACCTATGAAGGTCTGGTATTTGTGGGAATGATTTGTGTGTCCAGACATCATAAAGTCATAAAGATGGCCTAAGCACTCTGTTAGTGTTTCTACTGATAGGACACCTCATTAAGGCGTATGGGACGGCCATGTGGCCGCTGCAGGCTGGGCCCATGCAACAGTCTGGACCAGGGACATAAATCAGACAAATGAAACAGCCTGTAAAAACCAGACCTGAAACGGCCTGAAAAGAAGAGGAAAAAAAAAAAATCATATGCCTGAGAAAGTGGAGTTTTCACTTTCCGACAGACCATTCTCACCCGCGGGGGAAGATTGAACAAATGAATGTCAACACAACGTGCCACTGACACACACACACACACACACACATACACAGAAATTCACAAGATCAGCGTGCATACAGACACACAAGTGTAGTCTGGAACCTCAAGCTGCAAATGCAGCCACAGAACACCCAGGGGCAGAAATCATTGCTTTAAGAGCATATCATTTTTTATACTGTAATCAAAGACACATTACGGGAAGATGTGTCACAATGTGCCCTTTCTTTTGGCCACATCTGTTTCAGATAGCCAACAATGGACTTAACAGGCAGTAGCTTGTATAAGGCCGGGGCCTCATACTAATCCTCATTAATCCGGTTTGGCCAGACGGGGACACCCATTGTGAAAAATAACTCCTTACAGAAAGAAGCATAAGCCTCACTAAACAGTTAAGTGCCATTCTGCTGTCACATGTGTATGCTTACAGGGGACTTGTAGCATATGATAGTGTCATCATTGGAGGGTCATAAATAATCAAAATCCCCTTAAAAAAACTAAACCATTACCTACCCGTTCCTACTTAAATAAGGTGACTAAAGATATAAAAAAGATCAAAGATCAAGTATTCATCAATACAGCCCAAGTGATTGGGTCAGAACCTACCTGTGGATGGAAGAGGAAGCCTGGAGTTGGCCGCATGCACTTTTCTTTCAGCATCTCAAACGGATCGCTCATTCTCCTTTTCTCAACCCTGCTAATAGTAAATTTCTATCAGCTCTTAACACATGCTCAGCAGCATATCTCACTTTATTCAGTTTTATAAAAGAAATAAGAACCAGGAAATCATTTACATAAAATTACATTTTCTAAGCAGAGCATGCATTTGAATCTTTTTAATCTAAAAAGGAATGTAATTTTTAACAATATAGTATTATTTAGTAGGCAATACAATTTTCACGTTGTGCCAAATGGAAGTGGTAAATTGAGTCAAGGCTAAGTGAGACACTGGGAATAACAATACCTGTAGATGGGGTCCATGAAGAAAGGGGTGGGCCTGGCATGCTGTAAGGAAGTATCTGCTTTTGGAATCTCCATCACTCCCTTCTCCTCTTCATAAACCAGATTCTTCTTGGTCGGCTCCTCTTTTGGATTGCGTCCACGGCCCCTGGGCCCCAAACTAAGATCAAGTGGCTGATCCTGACCCATAGGACGTGATGTTTCTGGTTTGGAGGGGGCAAATGCGGCTAGCTTCTCCTCCTTTCGCTTGGTAGTGAGGTCAAATGGGGACTCGGACGAAGACTTTCCTTGGGCCTTTTTGTAGTCATCTGCTGGTGACTTTGGCTCATTCTTTAGGCCTGCAGATCTGAGGTCTCTGTCCGGAAAGGAGTAAACTGGTGGAGAGAAAGCTGGGAAGAAAGGCAATGGGAACATAGAAGGATAGGGCAGAGACCCAACCTTCTTGTCCTGCAAGCCAACTAGCCCAGTTGAGCCAAAATACTTCTCAGCAATGGACGCAATGGCCTTAATAGAGTCATTTACAGCCCCTGTTACGGCTGTGTGCTCATCCAGTGGGGATGGGATAAGGGAAGGACCAGGAAAGTCTTTCGCAGCCCCGCTGCCCATCAAATTTGGGCTCTGGGAGCCCACTTCACTGGGCTTCCTCTTGGGACCTTTGCCATTCTCTCGAGCAGCCCCCCTCTCCCTCTCACTGTCCATGTCGCTGTCAAACTCAGAACCCGATGTGCTCTCCAGATCACTGCCGCTGGGTGTACTGACATCGTCCAGGTCGCTGCTTTCAGACTGATCGCTCTGCTTGTTCTGCTGCTTGGTAGAGGATGAGGAACCCTGGTTGTGTAGCTCTGAGTCTGCAACCTCATTTCCAAGTGAATTGTCATCTTTGCAGAGGGCTTTAAGTAGTTCTCGAGACTCCAGAGCACCAGGGCTCGGGGGTAGCAGTGGACTCTTACTCAGCTCTGCACCAGGGGCCGCAACAGGTGTGTGAGCTAGCTGTCTGACAGGAGAAGTGGTGGCAGGTATGAGTGGTGGTCGGTGATAGAGTCCAGAGGGAAACAGACCGGGGAAGCTGAAAGGAAATGCAGGGGCTGCAGGGAAGGTAAGACCACTATGGTGGCGACTCGCCCCAAAATAATCAGCCAGTCCAGCGCTGCTGTGACCCATTGCAAGAGCTGTTTTGTCCAAGCCAGGGGTGCCAGGGAGTGGCATACCCTGGGCAAATAGTCCCCCTGCTGTGAAGTGATTCTTCCCCTCACAGAAGCGCCTATGCTTATTGAGGGAGGAGGTGGTGCTGAACATTTGCCCACAGTCCTTGCACTTGATCTGTGTGCGGCAGTCAGCATGCATGCGTTTGTGGCGGCATAGGTTGGAGAATTGGGTGTATGACTTGTGGCATACCTCACCTGCAGGGACACGGAGACAGTTGTAGAATATGTCAGTATCCAAGACACACTCACTCACCCACACATAGTTGCTGAGAAACATTACGCTGAAAAATGACAGTGCACAAAATGATGTTAAGGGAGGAGGAAATACAATATGAATGATAATGCTTATGTTCCCATCAAAACTCTCACAATAGATTTCCAGCAAAGTAAAAAATGGAGAGGTGTGTCCAGATCCTGGCATTGTACAGGAATCTCTTTGGTTGATGTTGTGAGTCATTTGCTGCCACTCATCACCTGCACATCAAACCAGATTCCCAGGCATCTCCAGCACCATTGTCCTCCCAAGGAGTCCGTAAACAATCCCACACAGACACACATATGGACATGCAGGCACATTCGCAAAAAGATTCACACCACACAAAGAATTTGAATTGCACACACATGCATACACACACACGCATAGCTACGCAGACCTAAAGACACACACACACACAAACACGTTCTCAGCCACATGCAGCACAATGGCTCTATTTTAAGTTTGTGAAGGAAGTGGAGTTGAATGAATCCTATCCTGCAGTCCGGTTCCCAGGGACAGGTCTCACGTCCTCTGCTGCCTCTCTTCCCTCTTCCCCTCTGGGCCTCTCAGGCCGACCCTGCAGCCCTCTCACCTTGTCCCAAGAACTGGGGCCATGTCGTCCTGTGCTAAGTGACCTTCCCACAGCCAGGCCCTGTTAGTGGGCCTGCCATTTTGTCTGACCCTAGTACATGTGGAGTCAAAAGGCTACCCCCCCAATTATATTTATTGTCTTTATTAATTGTCAATCTATTTTATAACCTGTTGGACTAGTGACAGATTAGTTTATATTTTTCAATTACCTGTTATTATAGGGGCTTGTGTAGATTTGCTTTTGCCACTGACTCAATGAAATGTTGATTACTTCAGCTTTACACAGCACTTTGACAAATGTCTGGATGCTCATTGTTGTTAGATGTAAAAAAAAAAAAAAAAAAGGATCAGGAAGTGGTTGGACTCACAGTGTGATTACACTTCTGCATAGTTTGGATGCCTTCCAGGCACAAGGTGCATAACAGGCAATTCAAAGAAATGAACAGAAAGAGAGGGAAAACGCATTTGGGAAATAGATTTGAATGCACGACCCTACATAAAAGAAGCCTGATCCAAGAGTCAGTCTTAATGAGTAAACAAACACATCTGGAAAGTAGTAGGATGCGTTCAATTAATTACAACTCTTCAGAAGATGTGTCCTTTTCCTTTTTAAAGCTACACATTTGTTTTAAAACCCAAGTTTATACATTTATAATAAAGTCATTATAAATAATGTACATTTTAAGAGGTTACAATGAGTCTAACTTCACTTGTGCAGCAGACATGGACAGCGAAGTCATGTAATAAAGAGATCCGGACTGCTTCGATAGATCACTCCTTGTGTGTATTTTTACATGTATGGCTACAGGGAAAGTTAGAAAAAAACGTTCCACAATAAATCATATCATAATGGCAGTGCAAGATTAATGACACACATGCGTTCTACGCTAAGCTGGAGATCTGATCCGCAACACGCATGCATCCATCAGCTTCTAATAAAGTTAAACAAAATCTTATAAACACATCCCAGACAGAAGAATGGTGGACAAGTGATGGTGATCTCAATAAATCCTTCTCACAGAGAAGTGTTAAGACAAACGCGTCCTTGACACACTGCGTGCACAAAGATACAAACAGCACCCCATGTTCATACTGTTCAGATTTTCTTCATGTCCTTCAAGAGCAGTCACTCAAACGAACACTTCAGACAAAAACACATGATCTTGCCCAAGCAGCCGTCATGTTTGAGGTTGCTTTGTCTTTCTTTTTTTTTCTTTTAACACAGCCATTAGTTGTTTTTAAACCTGCATTTTTTCTGCTGATTACAGCAAATGGACTATTCACAGAGGCGTACATGTGGTTGCTATTTGTGAGGAATGGTGAAGTGGTGGAGGCAGTGAGAGTGGGGAATATGAGGTCTTCGAAGATGTAGTTATTCCTGCCTGTGCATATATATAAGTGTGTGAGCGTATTTAGCATGTGGACAGGTTTGTGTTAGCCTGCATGTGTCTTAGAAAATGGGGGAAAGGGAGAAGGGTCAAAGGGTAAAGTTCATAACGCTTCAGGGGATGGAGAGATCAGATCTCTTGAGTGAGACGGTGAAAGTGTGAAAGGTCACAATGTGTTTGGGTCTTGCTGGAGTTGGTGTCTACACACACAAAGCAAATGCTTAACTGAAAAAGCTACTGAGAAAGAAAAGGATGATAGCTGTCTACACTGGCTCGCTCTCTTAGGCAATGTGTTGGCACTCCCATACCAGCAGTATGTGAGGATGCTACGGCATTAAAACTCGTGACCTTGCTGAACACAAAAAGAATTTCAGTCTAAATCCCGTCGGACATCAAATACAGGAGCTGAATACAAATCGTCAGGTTTTTTTACACAGGCAATTGAAAGCATGTCGTTATTGTTATTATTATAATGTACTGAGGAGACTTACATAGGTAGGGTCTTAGTGACTTACACATGAAGGGCTTGACACTGCTGTGGATGTGCTTATGCTGCTTGAGGCCTGAAGACGTTGCAAACGTCTTGCCACAGTCAGAGCAGGCATGGGCACGCGCCCCGACGTGCTGGGAGCGAATGTGCCTCTGTAGGTTACTGGGGTCTGTGAACACCTGCTAGGAAAAGGAACCACACAAACACATATGACAGTGTTACTATCTGCCTCTACTGATCCAATAAAATAAAAACAACACCATACAAGCAAATCATTTGCTAAATGACTTCTTCAAAAGTCATCACGTTACCTTTGAGCAGTTTTCACATTCGTAGTGCTTGCCACTGTCATGTGACATCTGATGTCGGATCAAGTTTGATTTCCAGTTGAAAGCCTTGGGACACTGATCGCACTTATACTCCCTCTCCTCGGAGTGGGACAAAGCATGGGCCTCCAGGCTGAAGGGAAACAACAAAAGAGGAAAACAACGAAAAGTTCATAAATTGGAATTAGTTTGACATTTTAATGCAGCTCTCCTGCACCTGTAGATGTTCACCAGAAAAATTAATAAACTTCTCTTCACTCACCTCTGAACATCAGGGAAGACCTGGTCACACTCCTTACACTCGTGTAGGCCGTGAGACATGTGGAGGGGCCGCAAGTCTTGAGGATCTTGGGCCGTCAAGTCACCGTCCCCTCCTACAAACATGAAAAATTCCTTGGGTAAAATACAGGTCTTCTACATCACACGGCCACCATATTACTGGTTTAGGTTTTATATGCTGTCAACGACACGTCAAAATATCCACATATTGAGTCATGTTTGCAGCCTTTGACAGCCGCCCCTTCCATTTCATACGCCGTGTTCGCAGTGCTGCAGGCACTGAGCCCCCACACTACATTGCATATCTTGTTACTGCTTGTAATATAGTGAGCATAAGGATTAAATATGTTCTTCCAGGCCTACTCTTGCACAGCTGTGCCCAAGCTGGCTTACAAGACTCATGCAAAAACGACAATCCAGAACAAAATTGGATTTCAATTCTCATTTTTCATCCCTCACTCTCCGCTTTTCAGGCCAATTTGTAGACACATCCTTCTACAGTTCATTACTCAGCACCCTCAGTTTCAGCGGCTTACTGTTTATTAATCAATCACCTTCCCAAACCACTCATGCTTCTAGTCACTCATCACAATTTACTATTTACGGTTGCACAAAACAGGCATAGAAATATAAGTCAAACCTGGATTAAGGAAGGAAGAAGGGGGCATCCCACATGGCTGCTTCTGGTGGTCCAGCAGCTGATTGCGAGACTCAAAGTGCTGGTCACAATCCTCACAGCGGTACTGCCTCTCCTCTGCTTAATGGATAGAGAATAAATGAGCATATTGTGTACTTAGGTGAGGTGTATGTGTTGCTATGTAGACAAAAATGCAAAAAATGGGTTTAGTGCAGACCGTGAATATCAGGAGCCATGGTGTCACATGAATAATCTTCAGCCTTCATGAAAAGTAGCAGCTCTTCACCAGGAAATATCTCTTTGGTGACTTTGTAGAAGATCTGCAACAAACAATGTTTTTCATGATTTAAAGTGTTTGCTTTTCTTGGAAAGTTGCACAAATCTGAGCACAGCAAGATTTTATTTTGGAGCTAAACTGGCTCAAATCAAGATGCAGCTGTTATAGTTTTGACAGCATTTTTCCTCCTCTTTTTCTCACACAACAAGGATACCAATTTTCTCTATCAACAAAGCTTCCTGAGAGTACTTCACATATATACTTATAAACACTGAAATCACCTCATTTGTGTACATGATTGTTATACCGCTGCAACCACTGCAAAGGGTAGACATATACATAAAAATACACACACTCATTAACTTGTAATTAATCATCATATAAGAAATCCATCTTCACGAACATGCAGGAAAGCACAAACAAGCATCCTGCAGAATAAATATACGCTCTCATAAATATACACAGTAAAGATTATAGCGGGCAGGAAGTGGCAGACGAATCTGTGGAGAGCAAGCTCACAAATTCAACAGCAAGGAAAACAAGCTAGGAAAAAAATCCTTTTGGTCATGGAAAAAAACACCTCTACATGTTCACTTTTATATAAAAACTTCCCCAAAAGCCATTCTCTATGCATCCATTTCAACGAAACATGCACCACAGAGCATGCTTAGCAGGTGAGTGTGTACTTGGAGAGGTACGGCCACAATAAAGAGTCAGCTGAGAGACCCTGTGAGTGAGAAGCTTCCCATGGATACACAATAGCCTTTCTTTGTGAAACAATCACACATGGGTTATTTTGGAAGGCTTTGGACATTTTACATATCAACTTCCTTTGCTGTGTCAACATGACAATAACGACAGAGGAATTTATTAGAAATGCAAGGGGAGGGTGGGGGGTGGACTCTGGGAAGTCATGGGTCACAGGTAGACCACACTTGAATTCCAGATTAAAGATTCTATAACAGACCCACAGTGGCTCCACAGACGGTTATGATAAGTATCTTGGCCAAATAAAGATCATGAGGTATTCTGTGGACTATTCTATAACTGCACTTTTCATTGTTCTTACTTTTGGCCTCTGACTTGATAAGATTACATTGTGTTATTGGAGTAAAGGCGGCTCAAGGCAGTCTCACCGAGGCAGAGCGCTTACATGTCATTAACTGAGAGTGTGAATGGGACAAGGTAAGGGGTGTTTTGGGTGACATAAAAGAACTATTTAAATTCAGGCAGTTGAAAAATGTTGGCTGTCAAGAAAATCAGAGGGAGAGTAATGAGCATTGCCAGTCGCTGTGCTATTAAAGCCAACAGCAGTGTAGTTTCATATTAACCACCGAATTTAATCAAATTTTTTTTCTTTTTTTTCCCTGTTTCATTACTTATTCCAAAACAATTTTGGGAGCACTTGAGCACTCCTTTCATCTGGTTCTGTAGGGGGTCCACACAGAAAAGTTGTCAATCTCCTTTACCGATTTGTCAAAGGAGAAATATACAGTCCTGGGGCGCAACAGAGCTGAACCCCATTGTTTCAACAGAAGAATGAAGGGAACTGAATTTTCACAGTCCTTGACTTTAAAAAAAACAACTTTAAGCTCTACACCATAAACATTCCACCGTGTGGAGGCGATGTGTTCATCAGAGAGCACACGAGCTCATACGGGCAAACACACTGAGGCCTTCACAGGTCATCGCTCTCGGGAGGTCACAAAAATATTGTGATTCAGAAACAATCAGACAGCAGCTCAAACAGACGTGTAAGTCTGCAGAGAATCCGCTCGAAGAGATTGATACAGAGATTGAGGAGGGAAGCTGTTTGGAAAGCTACAAGGGTGTGAAGTAAGGCCTGAAAACATGAAAATGAATGGGCTTCAAAACCACTTTGTTCATAGAGGAAAATCTAATTTTTTATGTTAAAATGGTTCAATAGGAGTAATTACTTAGGTAAGAGGCATAGTGAGTGGAAACCTTTGCCATCCTTTCATCACAGCAGCCACCAGCTAAAAAAGATGTTTTCAGTCTCTGCTCTTCCTTTATGAATGAATCCCTTTACCAAAAGAAGAAAAAAGCATTTTGTGGCAGTTTCGGTGCATACAAGTAAGCAAAATAAGGTGATTACTAATAAAAGGGTGAAAAGGGAAACCCCCCTTACAGCTCCACCCTATCCCTGAGGGTTGCCACACATAAACAGGGAGAACATATATGCGTAAAAACAAACATGCAGCGTACAGCTCGGTCCAGATCACAGCCCGTGGTTCATCAGGTCATCTTTAGCATGTTATGGACATCCTGACAAACACAAAATCCCCCACGCATTCACTGCCACAGCAACACTTCTGCAGCTAAGGTAGCCAGAGTGTCTGAGGTCACAGGCTGGAGACCTGCTGCCTCAGCATGAGGGACTATTTTCCCCTGACAGCACAAAAGAAAAAGGCTGCAGATCATCCAGTGCAACAGGGGATGATGTGTGCAGGTCAGAAGTTTTATAGCAGAGAATTTACTTATTTACTTCAAATTTGTATGGAATTTGCCCACGTGTGAGTTTCTAAAGTAACTACTTATGCTTGTTTTTACACGCGCATTGTCAAAGGTTACGACCATAACAGGATCAGGGGCAATAATCGGACAACTTGTTACCTTGGCACCATTAGTCATTAGCAAAGTAAACACAGTCACATTTTCCTGAGGCACGCCCCGTTGGCCGATTCGTTGGCTCGTTCTCCAGGTATGTCATTCACTTCTACTTTTACTCGGACTGGTTGTTTGCCTTTAGGCAGAACTTTTAAATCACAAGCTACTGCTCATCTAAACTGAATGGAGGGCAAATATGCCCCAGGCGGACAATCAGGGAAAACAGCGACAAGATTAAAGGATGTAAAGCAGATTCAGAAACATTTTTCAAAAGCTCCTCACAGGGCCTGACCTCTTACTTTTAAAATAATTAACCTAATGACAAATGCCCATTATATTGTGCCCTTGTGCTTGCTCAACTGTTGCATTGTGAGTCTATGTGTGTTCCAAACTCCCTGGAGCTATCAAAGTCATGTTACATGCACAATATTTTTGGCAGGCACCATTACTTGGCTTCCAAACAAAACTATTACGTGACTTAGATAGCAATAAAAAGTGAGAGCAAACAATGTGCAACTAGTTCCAGGTAATTAGCTGAATGTGTAAGGAAGCCAGCATGACTCTCTTCATGTAAGATTGAGCCAGCTGTGGAAGCCTAAAAAAAATTAAGAAAGCAGAGACATTCATCCATAAATTTGTCCGTGAAGTCTTTTTATGATCTGAAAATGTAAGAACTGAGCAGATTTGAAAATGAAGGATATTTTTTTTCTTTTTTCTTTTTTTTATATTCTTGTTTGATATTCGAGCCTTACTAAATGTTATCTCTGTGAGTTACAAACCTTCAGCTTGGTTACATGGTGAATAGCCATCAGCGTTTGGCTCACATGCCCCCGAGCCACTTCACCCTACTCAATATTGAGTGAGAATCAATAGAGCGAATGGGATTAACACTCATATCCTTCTGAACTGTCTTATGAAAGGCACTACAGGGCCTCATTGGATGATGTTAATTACACTTTTAATCAATTTTCCATTCAATTGCATCAGTAGCGTGAGGAGTGCAGTGGAGGGTTTTCAGCACTAATTGCCCTAATTATCTTAACAACCAAACAGGTGGATTGTGAAAGGATCCACACAGGAGCATTGTTTCTTGGAATGCGAAAGTTGGAGTATTGAGGAAGAGATGATCAAAAACTAACAGTAGGTTGCTAATGTCAGTTCAACCATTAAGAATATGAAAGTAAATACTAATTTGATTCAAATATAATTCAACAGAAAATTATATTAAAATATGGTTATCTTTACAGACTGTTCTTATTTGTACAGTAATGTGAGTTGTAGCATGTTGAAGTAATTACCGCTTGCAGTTTGACTCACAAACTGTGACACCTGCCATCTCTTTCCTCTATAGCCCATCCTGTTGCTTTCCACTCAGCGATGTCACTTATTTAGAGCAATAAAACTAAAAAAGGTCATGAAAATAAAGCCTGTCCTCGTCAAATTTTAGTTCAGAGCAGAACGTGCAGCAAATGTTCAGACGAAAGAAAAACAAACAAAATGGATCATTTTAGTAGCTTTGATTCAACACAGCTGCATATGCAGTGACATCATGTTTTTTTTAGCACTAAATGATGAAAGAATTGTGTGTTAAATGTTGTTTTTTTCACAAACATTTTTTGCTGGATATTTGCAGACATATCTTTCTGTTTTTGGATAGGTTCTGTTAAAGCACTTTTTTGTATGAATATGAAGCAAAGCTGGCAAGAAAAAACAAACAGGTAAGAAGAAAGTGTCATGAAAATGTTCAAGATAGCAATAGACTCTGTTTCAGTTGATCACTCCTCTTTCACTCCACAGTTCTCTTAAGATTGGCCAAAAACATTTATGATAAAACAGATCTGGGTCAGAAATAAGAGGATCGAGGCTAGTTTGTCTCTTTTTTATGCTGGCAGAACTAAACTGCCAGAATGGGAAAAGTCCAGCCCACGAAACCGGGAAACTGCCGTCGCTGTAGAACGTCTCAAAAAACAAATCAAGCGACAAATAATTTCTGTCCAATGGTGTGAGAAAATGTCCTTAAATTTGTTTGAGAGTGGATATTTGGTTCAACAAGAAGCATGTTGAGCCCTGGGAAGCTTGGTCAGGCTGGTGATGGTAGGATGTCATAAGTGGTGGATTTGGAATATGTGGTTTGGGGCTGGGATTAGACTCTGCACTTCTCTGTGCCATCAGAGACCTGTTGGACTCAGGTACTGTGCGCTTTAACCTTTCCAGCTCAGGATGAGGAGCGTGGGGAATCATCTGAACGCCTGCAGCGCGTGCACAATTACACAAACTCGCACTCGTCGGCGTGCACATGTGGACACACTAGCACCTACAGAGCCGTGAGCACATTTCAGAGACTAGACAAAACACTTGATGCTCTTATAGCAAATCAGCACACATTAGCATCTGTGCACACAGAGACACAAAAAGCCCTCACCCACGGGCTACAAAACAGACAGTGGCTTTACAAGACCACCCCATTTAGGCTATTCATTTTAAAGATACAGACAGGCATTGTGAGACGCTACACTGTGTTTTCAAAAAACACCAAAGTTGGCCGGAAGGCTTAAAGACAGCGCATTGTGCCGTGTTGTGACAGTGTGTGATACTTAACAATCACCTCATCATAGCCATGTCCGTGACCTGTCGGAGCCTTACACAGCCACCCAAGCAGAACCACAGTGTTGACAGCGAGTCACACCTCGCTAAGAGGGCAACTCGGGAAAGCTCTGTCAGCATGCTTGTCCCTGTGTCTATAACAAGTAGGTTTGGAGGGCTATACGGCTCTACTTCATCGTTGCCTTTGTGTGGAGCTCACTCCGTCTGCTTCATCCTTAATCAAATCAACAGGCGAGCGGTGTGAAAGTGGCACAGATGACTGGATCAAAAATCCAAAAGTCCCTCTCTAACTCTACAACTACCTGGGCAAGCTGCTGCACTGGAAATCTGCAGCTGAGTATAAAACCGAAATGCCCCCACCCCCTTTCCCCCTTACAACCTACATTTGGTGGGTTGGTGTTCAACGAGCGATCTAGATGGACCACCAATGAGGAGTGACGACAGCCACACAAGCTAGATGATGTTGTTTTATCCGGGTCAAGAGATGGTATGCTCCACACACGCGTCAAAAAGTTTAGACTCCGGTCTTCCTCCCCCTGCGTTTATCTGTGAGGGAGGAGCTCCCGGCTGTGGGATTACTCAGTTGAACAGGGCCCCCATGTATTGAGCACGCACCTCTCTACAGCCAGGTGAGCAGCAAAAGGACTGTGACATTCCTCGAATATCTACGAGTTTATAGCGCGAGCGTGACGGAGAAGTGTGTGGAACTATTATCTGGGCCGGCGGCCTGTGATCGCGCCCTGTGGTCCCGGCACGGCAGAAGCCGGCGCACAATTACAGGAGCAAAACAAAAACAGATAAGGAGGAGTCTGTGTGCAGCGTGGGTGAAGAGCTGTGGGATCGCATGTGTGTGTTGAAGGTGAAGGCAAGGTGGCCCAACCACTCACGGGCTATCTGACTTAAATCACAATAACACCTTTAAACACAAAAGCACACAGATAAGGGCAGCTACTGGAGAAAAAAAAACAGGGAAGTCTTCTGCCTTTACAGATGTTTTTTTTTATAAGAATGGCTAAGGGGAGTTTAAAAGTTTGATTCATTCTGCCAAGCTGGAAGGTTGAAAAGACACATCACCAGTTGGGAATTCAAAATCAAGTCATCCACATGTTTTTCGCTCCTTCTCTTGTTTCTTTCCTTTTTTTTTTTTTTTTTTGCAACCGCATTCATCTTTTGCCGTGTTGAGAAGTCGTGTCTCCACATACCTGATCATCTATCTGGCAGGCGCTCAGGTTATGCTGCGTGGCCGCAGGGGAAAACTGGATGTGCTTCAGCCAGCTCCCTATATCTGGTTTGCTGGCATCCACGCAGAATTTTACATGGCCTGACCCATCCAAGATCTGCAGAAGAGGGGGTGAGAGAGAGAGAGAGAGATCAGACTTTGATCAGTATCAGACCAGGTTACTGTGTCCAAACACTGCCTAACCACATACCTCCCACTGAGAAATGCCACTCAAATGTTAAGAGCAGGTCTGTGGTGCAACACACTTCTGTGCACGCAAGCGATTCGAAAAATAACACACACAGACATGCACTTACTAATGATATTATCAGTCTTTAATGACCCTTTTTAGGAAAAAAATATAGCATGTTAAAAATAAAAAAAAAGTTGACTATATCTGTAGTCATCTTCCAGTTTTAAAAAATAATAATTGTATAATTTCAATTTCCGAAATGAAAATGTAAAAGTATCTGTCCCACCTACAGGCCCATAAAATCCTCCTAAATAAATAAAAAGGGTGAATAATTGCATTGAAAAAAAATAAAGGCTGATAATTAAATTCTTTTTAAAATTTTTAGTTTCTAAATTATTTAATGTAGATTGCCATCTAAAAAAACAAACAAACAAAAATACAGGAAGTATTAAAACAAAATAACAAGTCAAAAGGAAAAAAAGACATTTTAAAATCTGCTCAGAAAATATTGTTCGATTAAAATCGGCTGGCATTTGCATTCGTTGCTAAAAATGAATCTTTAACGAATGTATTGACAAAAATTAAACCAAAAACAACATTAGCTTGATGTTGATAATAACAAAAATAAAATATGAATGAATTAATGCGCTGTTATGTTTTCATTTTCAGTATCAGCAGACTTCTAAAGCAAACACCTTCAGAGCGAAAAAGGCTTTAATACCAGAGGCTCTGAATTATTATGCAAATCATCCGATCAATAGACTTCACACAGGACATTGTTGCAGCATTTCTCCTCAGCGAAATTACCAACGATACGTCGTTATTTTCCCCTGCTTACATTTACTACACAGCAGCTGTAAACTTTACATGGAAACACATGAATAGCAGGAAATGGCGAGCGATAAGAATAATAACGACTAGTATATTGTTACGATGAAAAACAGAATCCCTTTCACAGCCACAAATCTGCCTTTCCGCCTCCCCATTAACCTGTCTCAGAATAAATATTTAGCTTATAAAAAGCCCATTGTCCGGACTAATGGTGAAGCTGCGTCTCTTGCGCATCTCGAAAGTTTTTCCTAAAATTTTAAGCGTCAGATTGAACTTGAAACGATCGATGCACGATGGATATTGTTTGCACCTTTTTTTGCTCTGTAATGCTTTAATAAGCCAAAACGTTTAGAATCATCTTACCGTTGAAACTCGTGTTATAACCTCTGGAGATGCTGGAAAAAAGTGATGAAAAAGTCCGACAAATACGATATTTGAGTAAAGTAAAGAAAAAAAATCGGCTATGTAAAAAAACAAAACAAATAAAAAGACTGATTTTTGCAACGCGTTGCTACGCGTTCTCCGGGTTTTTGGGCATGGTAGGAATCAGCGGAGCGCCGCTGCTGTTTGGGGGTCTCTGCTGGTCTCAGAGCCGCAGGACGATTCCACGTTCGGTCGGTGCGCTCTCGCCTCAGTGTCTCTCAGACACCACGCGCTTTGCAAAAAAAAAAAAAAAAAGAAGTAAATCCTCCCTCCCCGTGTATTGTCTCTCTGACAGAGCCGACTGGGTAATTCTCCCTCACTGTCCTACAGACATCGCGGGACGGAACTGAATCCCCCTCTGGCGCATCAACTCGCTCCCAACTTTTTTTTTTCTCAGTGGCGCGCGTCACTCGGCGCGTCCTCTCCTCTCCTGTCACCCCTCCTGTCCTCCTACCAGGTGTCCTCTGCGAGCCATTCAACTTTTACTATTTGTTTCTTCCTCCCCGGCTACTCCCTCCCCAGCCAAAACCGGGACGCGTCGTCTGTGTGACAGCGGAGGGATTCAGGGGAGAGAGGTCAGTTTTGGGCATCGCCTCCAGTTTCCAGCGATATTTCTCCCGCAAGCATTGTCTCATAAAGACAGATCCTGTGCGTCCATCCCCAAATAATCCCCCCCCCCCCTAAAGAACACCGGGCTGTCTTTGCCCCTCTGTCCCCCGTCGGAGGAGAGTTCTCCCCGTAATAAATTGTAAAGTGACAGGGGCCCGGGGTTGGAGAGGGTGAGCGGGGTCAGGGAGAGGTCGCCGTGGGTTTTTTTTTTTAAAGGATGAACTCCACACACAGGCAGCGCGCTTTAATGAAGCAACGCCAACAACAAAGCCGCGCACAACTGCCCACGTGCTTCCAAACTTTTTTTTTGCACGAACCGTTTCATGACATTATTACCTTGAGGATCCCAACCTCACAGAGAAGATGGGTTTGTTTTGACCTCCTTTTCAGGCTAGTGTTTTTCCAGTAAGGGCACCTAATAATAAAAAAGGCAGAACTATAATAAAACTTAACACTTTCTGTTTTGGGGAGGGAAGTATAGCTACAGAATTAAATGTTCCTCTCGAGGATCTCCAAAGAAACTCCATACAGACCATTAGAAGTGCCACCTTTTCAGACATTGACCTAATCACCTGCTTTTCTCAGACTTGGGGGGAAAAAAGGAAGAAGGGAAATATTCTAGGTAGGCGATTCCCCCTTCACCCCCCACTTTTACTTATCGAGTAAAGTCAAGGCAGACGTCTTAAAAGATCAATTTCCATTTAGGAAAGGAAAAGAACCCGTTAGAAAAGTCTGAATCAATCTTGAAATTACACACAATTTTGTCGTGTTTATTGTCCACTGTGCACCTGCTGCACCACTCACCCAAAAGGCGAGGATAAAAAAAAACAAAAAACAGCTTGGTATTTTATTTCGTGAGTGCTTTACTTAAATGTTAAGGTTTAACCTGAAATTGATACCGTGGAGACACGGACGACGGAATGGGATCGTAAAAAGAGAGCAGGAGTTTATTAGGGAGATTATAAAGCCAGAGAAGACGGGGCTTTGGCTGATGAGAGCAGATGATGATGGATAACTCCTCACTCTGTGACACTGACCTTCCATCCCAGATAATGCCCATTGTTTTGCGAAATCGTGGAGCAAATGTGCAGGAAGGACAGGAAAAATCATGTGTAAATAAGGCAGGACCCCACCACCGATTCCCATCGCCTCGCGCTCCTTGAGAACCGCGCAGAGACCCCGGTCCACCCTGTCATTGATTTCCTGCCTCTCCTCGACTTGTCCATTGTTGGAAGCCTTTTTAATTTAGCCATAAATTGGGAAAGCTCAAGTCGAATGAGCTGTTCTATTTTCTTCCTGTCAGGATGAGGGATTTGTTTTATGATGCATTGTGTATTAAATACAAGTAATCTGGGAAAGTGATTGCTCCACGGCCTCTCCGGGTCTGATCGAGGATCCTGATAGGTAGAGCAGTTTGAGGGGTTTTTTTTCAGAAAAGGAGGAAATGTCTAAAGATTCGGCAAACACAGAGGGTTTGAGGTATCATCTCGGGGCAGAGAGGGGTAACAGTCTCCGGACCCCCTTCGTCCTCCTGGCTGCGTAAAAAGAAAGTGCGCTCCTTCGGCCGGTCAGGAGATGGCGTGCTCAACTGATGTGAACTTTTCCAAACATTTCCGAGTTGCGTTTGAGCAATTCAGATGGCAATCTGTTTATGAGAATGTGTGATTAAATATTTTTGCTTTTTTCGGAGAAATTATTGCTTCAAATTGTGAGCAGTGTGCACTACTTTATCTCCACAGATGCAGATTAACTTTAGGGTAAACTGGCCCTACAGCCCAAACACAAAAGATACATTTAATAAAACGACTTTTGTGTTTGTTTGTGGATCAGGTTTTAGTTATTTGTGATTCATGATGAGAGAACAGACACAACTCAGTTTGAAGCCATCTCTTATTAAAAGAAGGGGTTGATTTCTTTCTTGCTTTCTGTGCGAATGGCAAAACATCTACATTAAGGCGTCAAAATTGTTAGATGGGACATGAAAGATCCGACTGAATGTGCCTGAATATTTAATCACCCGAACGAGCCACTCCAAAGCTCTTGAAGACCGATGGGGTGAATTCAAAACACTTGTTCGTTTAATAAACCACCAGAGTGATCTGCGAGGCGCAGCTCTAATTCCTATTTGTTTGAGCAATAAACGCCATTCTGATGTGCTCAGATGAAATAGATCTGTTTTATCTGAATTATGCCATGCCTTTGTCATACTGATTGTGACGTGCTAAAAAGCGGTGTGGAAAAGCTGTTTATCAACGAATTACTAACCAAACACAGGCAGGCTTCAGGGTATGTTAGTTCCGACTATATCACGCTACACAGCATTTCATACTTGTTTAGGACAACTAACAACACAATGTTGGTAGCGAGACTTTAAAGTGCTGTGAAATTCTCTAAATGGGGTTGAATTGCTTAAATGGGCCTGTGCTTATTTTGCTTGCGGCTTTTTTTTTTTGGTTTATTTTATAGCGCACGGTCACGCAAACGCCGATTCATATACGGATGCAGAGATTTTTTGTGATCAAATAGTTTGGTATTTTACTTGCTCTTAAGTTCACTTTCACGGGCAACGGGCTGACCCCCCCCCCCACACACACACACATACACACACACACACCCTCCGTCCCTCCTCCTCTCCCTCCTCCCCTCCCTCTCCGTCATTTGAGTAACTCTTAGCAACACTTAACCGGTCTGCAAATTGATTTGGATTTTTGCTGCTCGTTCCCGGCCCGTGTGAAGTCAGACGGGACACGCCGGAGAAGAAGAAGAAGAAGAAGCAGGGGGGATTCCCGTGCGGGTTGCAAACCGACTCCGGGCAGCGAGCTGCAGAGCAGCCGAGGGGCCACATGGAAACACTGGGAAGGCCTGTGTGGCGCATTCCAGCACACCCTTCAGGAGAGAGGGAAGAGGGGGGAAAAAAGGAGAGCAGAGAAAGAAAATATCGCAGCCAAATCCACATGAAATAGTCCCACCATTCATGGCGAGACCTCCTATTGACACCGACGAAAAGCTGCATTGAGTCTCCATCGTGGGTCTGTATTCACACGCCCCCACCCCGAGCATTTTTGATT